GATCTAGAAACAAATTGTGTTGCATTGGAATTTGATCTTGAATAGTTATTTTGACTATTTAATCGATTATATTTATTTTGTGAATAATTCTGTGTATTTCTTCGTTCTGGTGATCTTCCTCTATAACTTGAGTTATATGGTGATTGATTCCTTGTTTAACTGGTGTTGTTCGGAAGTGGTTTTCCTGAACTGTTGTTACTGTATATGTTTTTGTTTGGTAAATTTTGATCTTTCTTCATATATTGATAGAATGATTTGTTTGGTTCTCTATGTTTTTGAGGTTTGTTCTGGTTATCTTGTTGTTTTTGTCTACATTCAGAGATACTATGTCCGTATCGTCGGCAATAATTACACCATTTTTTGAAAGATGGTTTACCTTTAAAATTTGGGTGTTTTTCATAAATATTTAGTATTTCAGTGATTTTTTCAACTAGATCTGTATCTGATTCCTGTATGTTACTGATGTGCGTAGTGTTTGTTTCGATTCGTTTAACATACTGTAGTTTTAGATTTTCTGTTTCTTCGAGTTTCATTGTGATTTCCGCTTGTTCTAGTTTGTCTACTAGTTTTCGAAAATCTAAATCTGGCTCTCGAATTGAGGAAGGATGAGATGCTCTCTTTTTTATTGCTATTTTCCTTAATTGAGGTGTTAAGGTCATCATTAAAATTTCTGTCATTTTTGTGTTTTTATAGTCATGTGTATTTAATGAATATGCTTTTCGAACTAGTGTTTCGATGCGTACTGCTAATTGTTTGATGATTTCATTTGGTAATCTGCGAATTTCATTACATAAAACTCTTTGGTGTTGTTTATTTCTTTCGGAGTCAAACATTTTTGAAAATTCTTGTGTAAATCTTTTCCAATCTGATTTTATTTCTATAGGTAATACTGAAAACCATTTTTGGGCTGCGCCATCTAAGGTTGTTTGTATCAACGCTGTGCGTCGATGTATCCAATTTTGATGTAATGGTGTATTAATTGGTTCAGGTCCTATATTTAAAATTAAACTTGCTGTTACTGCATTTAAATAATCTTCTACACAATATTCAGGATCTGTTCCTGTGAAAACCATTAGTGGTTTATTTCATGTTATTGAGGATCCACCCATAAGGTATGGATTCATTGTCATTTGTAGTGATTCTGCGGCATTTGGCATTTGTGAAAAATTTGAAAGTTGATTCTTTGTTATTTCGTGTTGTTGAAGATAATATGGGAGTGGTATTTGAGTTGGTTGATACGAGTGTGTGATCGTTGGATTTTGTGGTTGAATTGGTTGAAAAGATTGTGTATTAGTTGGATTTTGCATTTGTATTGGTTGTTGATTTCGTGTTGCTGTTGGATTTTGTGAAAAAATTCTATTATATGTATAAGGTTTTTGTGCTCCTTGTCCGCGATATTCTTGGGTATACGGTGCAAAAATATCTGGTTGTAAATAATCGTCATCAGGTGATAAGTAATCCGTATGATGAGTCGCTTGCTTTTTATTTTTATTTTGTTGAAAAAATGGGTAATTTTCACTGCGATCCTGTGGGGGATGTGAATTAGTTTCAAAATTTACTGAGTTGGCTGTTGTCATTGGGTTATTCCAATGATGGGAACTTATATGATTATTATCAGGTTTTCGTGGGGGATAATTTGTTTTTGACGAATGTGCGTAGTTATAATTGTGTTCTGCAAAAGTTTTTCTTGTGAACGTTCTTCGTGTTTTTGACGGTATTGTCGTAGGTCTATATGTTTGATAATCCATATGTGAATATTTTGGAGCAACCGAAGGTTTAACGGTTGATTGTAAGGTTACTTGTGCCGTTGAAGTGTTTGTATTTTCTGGTGTTGTTAAATTTGGACGTATTGGTGAAATACTTTGTTGTGTAGTTGTTGTTGTTTGGACGATTTCTTCATTTATGAAGTGTGATGGTGTTTGAATATCTTGTTGTGTAAGATTTCTAGTTCCATTAAGGTTTTCATTGTGTATGACGGTCGAATTTAAACTATTATTTTGTGTATCAGGTAAAAATGTATTGTAGTTGAATGGTGTTGCATCAATGGTCAGTGGTACTACTTTCACATAATCTCTTTGATAAGATATTGTACTTATTGCTTGACTTGAGATTGATTGTGGGATATTTATAAATGCATGATGAGACCATTCAGGGTTCCAAACGTAATCTGACTGTTCTGTGATGGCAGTATCATCGTTTGGATTTTGAGGTCTAAAATTTTTTCTTGCTTGTGAAATTAAGTCTATATTATGTGTTGATCTATATTTTTGTAAATCATGTTTTGTGTGTTGTGAAACATCGTCTTTAGTGAAATTTTCTTTGATTATATGTAGAAAAGTTGAAAATAATGTAATTTCATTTCGTACTTTTATATGTTTGGATGTCTCAGTTGGTGAGATACTTTGAATTTCTGTTTTTTCTAATATTGAAATGTAGCTATATATTATTGCAAAGACTTCGTTAGTGAATATAGAATTTGCTCTTTGTGAGTTATGGTATTGTATGCTTTTAATATATTCTAAGAATACTTTTGAAAATTCTAATTCAAGATCGTCTGTTTGAATTACATATTTGCGATGATTCGGATTTGGTGTGCTGAATTCTATGGTGTAGATTCCGTATTGTTGTGTTAAATTACATATATCTTTCAGATAATGTTAAATAATTTGTCTTTTGATTTTTACATCTGGGAATTCTGCTTTGCATGGACTGATTCCGGGTTCAAACAAATTTAGGAGTAAATTCTTGCAAAATATATGCTGCCCTCTATCATTGGGTGCATCTACGAGGAAGGGGTAAACTTCTTCGTCATCTGGACTTTCGTCACTTTGAGTGTGGCTGTGGCTCATTTTTTTGTTTAATGACTGTTAATATATAACTATCGATGTGCCTAATTGGTTGATTCCAATTATACAAGTGTACTGGTTTGTGTTTATATTGTTTTTTTATTCTTCTTTTTCCTCTTTTTGATGAATTTGAAGTTGTTTCTGAGTCGGAAAAATATAATTGATCGTGGATAGGACAATTTTTGTCAATCGATTCTTTTAATTTATAGAGTTCATCTAAATTGCTGGCTTCTGATTCTGAAAATGCGTTTCTATTTTTTGAAAATCTTTTTCGTGTGATTTGTCTTTGTTTGTTTATTATTTTTCTTTTAATTGTTAGTCGTTTTGTTCTAATATATCCAACTGTTTGTGTATGAGGTGTGATTACAAGGTCGTATTTTTTGTTATCTATTTCGCAATTGTGTAAGACGATCGTTTGTTTATTTCCTAGATTTTTGAATGACATAAGGTTTAGGATGAGGGATGCAAAAAGTTGTTAGATGATGTCTACTTTTCTTAAACTGTTAGTCCTTACGATTTTTTGGTTAGCCTAACCTGGGTCTTTTTGTTCAGGGTTGGAGAGAAAATTATATCGATTCCGAAGAATGATTTTTTACTTTCTAGTGGCTAGTATAAGCTAAGGTGTTAACTTACTTGATCTTACTTAGGGGTAGTGATTGTGTTCAAGGGTTGGAGAATAGTAAATCGATCCACAAGGTTCAGGTATAATTAGAACGCGAGTAGTTCGTTAGATACTAATTTAAACTTACTAAGTCTAAGATTTATCCTGGGTCTGGTAAGAGGAGGGTTCAAGTGAAGGATGAATAACCGAAGTTCTTCACTGTTTATCCTAATTTGAATGGTTAGTTTTGTTGAAAAATTTCTATTAGTCTTGGGTTTTTTGGAAGGGTTGGATAGTGAATCGACGTTTGAGGTCGTTAGACACTTGCTAAGTGGGTAGGGGAGAACAAAATTGTTCTTTTTGATCCAAGGATTGGCCTTGATGATCAAGTTTTAAATTTAGTGAAATAGAAAATTAATTAAGATCCAAGGATAAGCCTTGATGATCTGATTATAAAATTAAGTGAATTTAAGTTTTAAAATGGTTTAAATTTATTTAAGAAAAAGATTTAGTTTTTTAATGATATTAGTGAGCTTATGATTGCTGTTATGTTTAGGTGGTGAAGCTGGGACAACAAATGATTTTATGATTACTAACAATTTATTGTCATTCTACTAATTTTTGTTTTTCTTTTCAATAAATATTTTCCAAACATGTTTTATATAAGACTGCAGAATTTAAGAAAACGATCTGAGATCTTTTTATCAATCGTTATTGTATATTAATAATTTTGTTTAGCGCCTGTAATGATCATGAAGTTTTGACTTCAAAATTTTATGTTTGCAAATGAAAATCTAAATTCATTGCTAATAGGATTCTAAATATAAAAGTTTGTGTTGGCTTTTGCCGTACAATCATATAACTATATGGTAAGTTTCTACTTTGTCGTATGTCGTCTCTTGTTCGAGGTCTTCTTGCGATTCCGGGTAGTTCTGCTATCGTTCGGAATATCGGCTCTGATCTATTGAGTCGTAGAGACATTTCGATTAAATTAACGTCGTATAACATTTTAAAAATGTTTTGTCTAAATTCTAATCTTTTTTTTTTTCGGTTAAATCTAAGCTATTAAGGTCTATTCGAGACTTATGGTCGCACCAGATGAGTTAAGACCGATGTGGTTAACTCATAGAGTAATTTCGGATAGGGTACACCGTCTGCTCGTCACGCTATCTTATTTTCGGCCGGATAGATTCGTGCAACTTCTTAGTCTAATACCGATCCTAATCTTACTCTTATACTTACTAGTCTCAGGGTGTTTAACTAGTCTCTGCTAGGCTCAATAGATCTAGGGTATACTGGTTTGTTGCGGTTGCTGAAGTTCTCTCGGAGAGACAACTAATTTCTAAGTTAAATTCAAATCTCTCTGGTGCTGAAATTACAAGTAATTTCAGCACTTACAAATAAGTGGGTTGTTAGTTAGATGGATCATGATTGGTTAATATTAAATACTTTACAGTGGTAAAATATCTAATTTATCCAATCATAAAATATAGTTTAGATCAGGTTCCAACATGCAAATTTATCAGTATTTTTTGGGCGGCGAAAGTTCCAAGATGCACCGCAACCGGCTAATTTTTCAGGAGGTGCAGCTGTTAAAGTATACTTTCGTGTTCATCTGGAGCATCGCTGGTCTCTGTATCTTCTCTTTTTACGTGTCTACCATCCAGTGTGTCATCAGCGCACGTGCACAACTTATGAACTCGGCCATCCCTGCCGACCAGAACAGTACAGGGGTTAGCACGTGACCATTTTGAGTATGCGGTAACACTTTAGCATTCAGAGGCTCTTCTACGTGCGAACAGCAGATATGTGCGTTTCAGTTCCCCTCCCACCGGATAAGAATTTTAGGCTACCCCTCAACCTCGCATGATCATCGATTTTATGGTGTAACTAGTGGTTGAACAAAATCAGGAATGAACAAAGTTATTTATGGGAAAAAAATTTAGTACGTGTTTGCAATACAATCGGATAACGCGAAAAATAATTAGCTCTTTTCCAGTTTCCCCCCTTCAAATTCAATTTTGAAAAGTCTATTTAATGTTGTCATAATGCAATGAAATTTGGCGTGGTGAACAAATCGACAATTCTGAACAGATTTTTTCTTCATACTTTACAGCGTAACATCACGTATTTAGCCGTAATAACACGTATTACAAACATAAAACTCGGTATTTTGAAAGGGGGGAAACTGGAAAAGAGCCAAATAATTTTACACACCAGCAGATAGATTTAGGAGGGGGGAGGGGGGATTCGACCCCCTGCCGACTAAAGGGCCCCCCTTTGTAGTATTTGAGATATCCATTTTTGAATGACTGACTCTATAATTTTGATGGGGGAGCGCGCGCCAAAAAACGCGATTTTTTGGTCAAAATTTTCCAAAAAGTTCCTAAAAACGCCTTTTTTAACCTGTTTTTTTTTCAAAAATTTGCCTGCAGCGCAGAAAATTTGGTCAAAATGGGGTATTTTTAATGATATAAGAGAGCTCAGAAAATCAATTTTGTCGACCTAAAAAAAAGTCGACAAAACTTTCGAAATTTTTTGAAAATCCGCCCCTCCCTCGAGAATATCCCATATCTGCCTCTGATTTTACATGTAAATATTCGCAAGTGGAGAATAAAGAAAAATAGCCTAACTTTACACTAACTTTTCAGTGTTTTTAACCTCATTTTTCCAGTGCTATTATGGGTTTTTTATGTACGAACAAAATGTGTTTGTAATTAGGGACTAACTCACATGCCAGTGTTCATGGCAATTGAACCACATGATTATATAATGGTTAAAATGGTTAAAACATAACATATGGTTAAAATATAACAGGACTGAACAAACTCGTATATCAGAACAAAGCCCTGAGTACCTGAGTATGCCAATTGCCACCTTAAAAAATATCACCAAAAAAGATTTGATGAAAAAAGGTGTTGTTTTTTTTCGCTTTGTACCTACCCGCTATGTAAAATACATAGGGATGTACAAAGCATCCTAATATTAAGACCGAGTGACTTACCTCACTTCAATTTGGAACGATTGAATCCGTCGCATCTAGGTGCTTATTATAAGAACGTTTTATTAGAATATATCGCGCACTAATTATACCAAATTGGTCAAATTAGAAATTTTCGAACTCATAACTTTACAATAAAAGATCCGAGGTAATTTTTTTTTTGCTTTTCAGATCCGGGCAGCTATATCTTTCAGATGGTATAAAAAATATTTCTCAGAAACACTTTAAAAAAAGTCGAAATTTGACTCAATAAAAAAAACCACCTCAAGCATAAAATTTCACTACTTTCTTCAAAAATTTCAAAAATAACCTATATCTTTTAAGAGCCTATATCTTTACAGTGACATCATTGGTCAAATTGAGCCATGTATATTGTATGGCATTGCGTTTTTCGGAAGAAGAGTCAGGAAATAATACGAGGCAAAACCTGCAAAATCTTTAAAATCTGATCATTTGGTGGGGATTCCACTGTGAAATTGAGTAAATTTTGAGGGAGTCATAAGGAGCATCGATGACTGCAGTTGATTTTTTCTGCATAAAAAACAAGAAAACGATCGAGAATTTCTGCATGAAAATTTTATCAGATAACGGGCGAAATTAAGGAGATGGATGGTACTAGTTCACTACATCCATTTTTGGCCGACTAGCCCTAAATATTTTCTAACAGCGCATCTGGTGCCAATATACACTAACTTTGAAGAGGAGCGCACTCCAAAAGAAAGAATTTTTTTGGCAAAATCATCTAAAAAGCGCCCAAAAATGGCAGTTCGACCCTCCTGTTTTCTGTTTTGTTTTTTCCAAGTCGCAAATAATCTGGAACTCCCCCCCCCACCACCGTCAAGAAAATCCTAGATTCACTGCTGTCAGATAACCTTAACTTTGACAGTTTTTCTTCAAAAAAATTGGAGTGTAATGGCGTTTATCTGTTCAGGTGGAAAACTTTTTCGGAGGGAAATCTTTCAGCCGAAATATGAGCCGAATGTCTATTTCGCCGGCTTTGACAGCTGCAAAAAAGGAAGAAACGAATGATCTTGTGGATCGACGGGGCTTGGTGGCTTTCATCGGATCAGCACTGGCGTCTATGAGTATAATCGTGGTCTTGTTGGTCCACTGGTGAGTCAGTAGTTTCCTTGACTAACCGAGTTATTGGACCAAACTTCAATTTCAATACGCAATTGGCCAACTCGATTTTCAGTTGATTTTTTCTGCATAAAAAACAAGAATGCTCCTACTTTTTTTTTTTTTTTGAAAATTGAGATGGCCGTAAAAATTGGAAAAATTTCTTTGCTGTACAATTTATTTGCCTGCATTTCAAACGTAATGTTATAACAAAGAATTTTCACAATTCAGAGTTAGTAAATTTTTTTAAATCAAATTTTAAAAAATAACGCAAAATCAATCAGTTCATTTTGGCGAACAAAGAGATCAATGAAAGCCGTTTTATTTGTCCTACTAATAAATACATATAATAAGAGAAAGAAGTTTGCGTGTGCGTTGGTTTGTCAGCAACTGAACTCCAAGGATAATAGCACGACCGTTAAAGAAAATTAACAAGTATGGGCGTATGAATATGAGAAGTGCGCTGGGTTAGTTGGTTTTTTTCCTAAAATTGCCCGACTTTCCTCAAAAACAGCAAGTGTAGAAAGTTTGGAGTTTCAAAAAGAAAGCTAAGAAAACTGTACCACATAAAAACAAATTTTAAAAAACGGGAAATGAACCGACGGAAAAAACGGGAAGTTAACCTCCAGAAAAATTATTTGAAAACAAAGTAAAACCGGAAACGATCTACACCTATTTACTACCTAAATGAAGGTAAGTGTATTTTATTTTTTGAGAAGTTGAGCATGTCTGAAATTGAGAATGTCTGAACTTTTACCATTCCTATACTTTTGATCACTCTAGGCGAAGGCAGAAGGAAACTAGAAAGTGTAACACAGAGGCAAAGCGGAGCTTCAATACACTTGCGATGCAAAACCGACATTGCGTTACAAAATAGTGAATGAAAAAAAGACAAAGTCAAAAATAAATTTCTGAAAATAATGAGGGAAAAACTACAAAAAAAAATTTGACAAAAGTTGAAAAATTACAGCTACAAAAACCTCATATTTGTATCGTATGAAGATCATAAACAGCCCCTAAAATTGAAATCAATTACCGAGCGGCAAAAAAGGCGAAAAACTTTGAGTCGAAACCTATTGAGCCGAAAATAAAATGTTTTCATAAAAAAATTTATAAAAGTTATAAGTTTTTACGACCCATCGAAGCTGAAACACATAATCCCGAACAGATACATTTGGCCCTCGAAATTACGCAAAATGAGTTGTCTAAGTCGATGTAACATAAACTGAAACTATTTGAATATTTAAAAAAAAAAACGAAAACATGAAAAAACTCAAATCATTTATGGTAAATTTATAAAGTTGTGAAGTTTCAGTCAAGCAAAATCTACTTAAATTGGAACAAAACCCGAAATGGTACCCGAATATTGAAAACCGAAAAAATGCGATTTACATTTTTTGAAAAGATAATTACAACCAGAAACGGGCTTGAACTAATTACTACTTACGTAAATCTTTGGTTACTACTTAAAACTTTTATTTGAATTTTAAAAAAAATGAGCATGTCAGAAGAGATCCTCTATAAGTGGAGATCCTGTGCTTAAAGTTATTTACGGGAAAAAAGTCTAGTACCCGATTGCAATATCCTTGCTTATCGCAACACACATTATCATTTATGACTGTGCACAGTTTACTCAAACCATATTTCAATCCTATAGCTAGTTCAGTTATTAATCGCATAGTTGAAAATCAAGTTCTATGGTCTAATTGGTTTTATTTTCACTTATTCTCTTAGAGAAAGAGGCGAAAAAAGGGTGCGAATGGAGTTACCTGATTTAAACGTTTAATTTGCAGTTCTTTTCTATTAGATGCTCAGAGTTGAGCACATGCATCTTTTTTGAATAACTTGATTCATTTTCATTTTATTATTTTAAGTTCAAGTTTGTATTTACGGACAAAAGATGTTTTGTAATCAGATCCTAAGTCATATGCCAGTTTTCATGGCACCTAACCAGCTGAACAAAAGCTAAAAATAGAACATCTGCTATGATAGAAGAGCCTATTTAGGTATTTTTAGAGTAATATCGTTGTCATTATTCTCATCATAACTCAGCCATGTTTTGCCTTGAACTTTTCAAAAAAGGGGAGACAGAAAATTTTATCATCGCATTCTTATCTTAAAAACGGAGTAAGAGGTCAAAAACGATAACATATTTAGATAAAAGCGCTTCTAAGAATTGGGGGAAAAAAGAGTACATAGGGATGTATTAAGCATCCTACTTATAAAACCGAGTGACGAGTGACTTGCCTCAATTCATTTTAAACGATTGAATCTGTCAAAAATGATAACGTATTTAAAATAAAAGTGCTAAAAACTTAGTCATCATTTGTATTCTATTTTTAAGATATCATGAGCAACATTGATTAAAGAGATCTTGAATTGACTTACACTTCTGTACTCTATTTTCAATATTTCAACAAGACTACTCGTATCAGGGCGAAGCCTTGATTGTTCCGACTGCCTTTTAAGGTTTTATGGAGCAGTAATAACATTAAAAAATTTATGTAAGAAAAAATAAAATGAAAATTTTTTTTTCTCAAATTTGAATTTTTTTTTGAGAATCATCCCCCCACACGCCATAAGTATAAAAGGATAGATTTCGCTCCTTGTAACAAATCAATTATGGCAAATAAGCTTCTTTCAACCAATTTGGAACGATTTTAAGACGGATTAACTCTCCGCTCACGCGTTAATAGTGCGAAATATATCGCGGGTTAATTGTCCCAAATTGGCCAAAATGGCAATCTTTAAACCCCCATAACTTTACGAAAAATGATCACAGTTGAAATATCTTTTCAAATTTGAGCTCAGAACAACAACCCCTTTCGAATGATATAAATAAATTCTGTCAAAAATGGCTAGTTAAAAAGTCGAAATTTGTCTGAAGAAAAAAAAACCCAACCCCGAGCACAAATAATCCGTTACTTTCGTATCGAAAGTCGGAACAAAAAGTATACTGTTGCTATTTTATTTTCAATTGGCTGAAAATTTTATCGTGATGCAGCGTGACTGAATTTCAATGAAGCGATGATAAAACTTCCTTTTTTCCAGAATCGGTAAATGCATTCTTCAGTTTCTTGGTTTAAACCACTATTTATTATCATTTAGTTTAAAATCAGTCTCGGAGCACCACGATAAGTTGCAATTTTTTGGATCTCATGGCAATCAAAAGTTACTGCTATGCAATAAGAATTGAATTTTTAAATGTTCAGAAACTTTTATAGGAAAGTAAAGTGAGCGAGTAATTTCATTCACGAGGGCAGGTACCGGGCGGAAAATGGCTATTTAGCTTATAAATAAAACTAATAGCTTGCAAAATTGTCTTAAATTGAGGGGGTGCGGATTTTCAAAAAAAAAATAAGAAAAATTTTACGACCTTTTTTTAGATCGACCAAATTGATTTTCCGAGCTGCCCTAAAGCACTAAAAAGACTCTGTTTTGGCCATATTTTCTGCACCGCAGGCAAATTTTTGAAAAAACAGGTCAAAAAAGCCATTTTTGTGCACTTTTTGGAAAATTTTGACCAAAAAATTGCGTTTTTTTTGGCGCGCGCTCCCCCTCAAAAATAGTATATTTTGGCGCCAAAGCCGCCTTTTGAAAAATTTTAGGGTCGGTCGGTCAAAAGTGGATTTCTTAAAAACTACCAAAAGGGGGACTCTTCGGGCGCGCAGGGGATCGAGTCTCTGAGGGGGAGAGCGGACTGAGTTCAAATCCGCCCCTGAGTACAAGCCACAAATAACCTTGATATCTCTGAACCTAGCTTTAACCTGACAGATTTTGCCTAATTTTGATTTAAGCTAAAAAAAATAGCCATCAGCTTTTTAAAAAAAGCAAATTTCAGGTATGTCTACAAATTTTGTAGCAACAATTTATACGGCGTTAAATTTCGTCTATTTTTCTAGTAGCTTTGCTGAAATGCGATGGAATTTGAGTTATTTGTTCCGACTTTCGATACGAAAGTAACGGAATATTTGTGCTCGGGGTGGGTTTTTTTTTCTTCAGACAAATTTCGACTTTTTAACTAGCCATTTTTGACAAAATTTTTTACATCATTCGAAAATTATTGTTATCCTGGGCTCAAATTTGAAAAAATATATCAACTGTGATCATATTTCGTGAAGTTATGGGGGTTTAAAGGTTGCCATTTTGGCCAATTTGGGACAATTAACGCGCGATATAATTCGCGCTATTAACGCGTAAGCGGAGATTTGATCCGTCTTAGAAATTGTTCCAAATTGGTTGAAAGAAGCTTATTTGCCATAATCGATTTGTTACGAGGAGCGAAATTTATGCATTTGTACTTTATATGGCGTTTGGGGGGTGATCTTCGTTTTAAAAATTTCAAATTTTAGAAAACAAAATTTTTCATTTTGTTTTATTTGTTCCGACTTTTTTCATTTAATTTTTTAACGTTATTGCTTCTCCATAAACCTTAAAAGGCAGTCGGAACATTCAGGGCTTTGCCCTGATACGAGCAGTTTTGTTTAGTTTGGAAAATGCGTGTTTAAGGTCTCATTGATAGGCTGTACTGTTCAAACAATCAGTTTTGCTCATTATTCAAAAGAGTTTTTATAATTTGACAAAAACAATGTTTTGGCAAGCTTGAAATTGATCAAACTTACATTATCCTGAATATGTAATTTTGTTGTTGCAGACAAAAATGCCGAAAAGAGTATTGCCAAAGCTGTTCCAAAAATGTAGTAGAACGTTGGAAAAAGACTGAATTCCAAAAGGATAACGTTTGCTTTTTACTAAGCTTTTTACTGAGAGTTAATTAAGCAGAGATTGTGTTTTTTCGTTCTATTCCTTTTTCGGTACCTTTTTGGGACCAGTTTGCGTGTTCAATATAAGATTATGTGAAAATCTCACTATCTTTTTGCAAATTCAAAATTTTATTAAGACCCAATCAAAACAAACCTGCCTCTTAGTTTCTAGTTAACCATATGTAAAAAAGATAATTCTTACGCTCTAGTGGTCAAGTGATAGATCTTTAGCAGAGCTTGTCTAGCTCTCACTTGATACGCTAGTGAAATTTTTTTTGAGGATTGATTTTTCAGGCTTCAATTTTTCACGCAATCTGGAGCTGATTTTTGTTGCTCTTTTTTTCCTCAACGTGGCATAAACATCATTTTTGTGTACCCAGGAGTTTCACAAGGGTATGTAAGAAGACCATATATGTTTGACCAATTAGTCCGCACACAAACTTTTTCAACAATCGAACAAAAAATTGCAGGTTCTGGGGGAAGTAAAAAGAACCATTATTGTTTGTCTATGGTAAAAACAGCTTCGCCTGTGTCAAATGTAATAAGTATCTCGAAAAAACTTCAATTTGAAAGTCACAAAAAATAAAGACATTATTTTCCGCTTTTTTTACAAGTTTCAAAAATACGCGGTTTCTGGTTCTGGTTTTTTCATTCAGTTTTCAAGAATGAAATATGAAAACAAAACCATTCACTCAAAGTATCAAAACCATCAAACTTGATCTTCGCATCTTTTTAGTGTCCCAACATACATGTAGTCTGTTTTAAGGAGCTGTGAAAACCTGTAAGTTGAATTTCATTACAAACACAGATTGTTACATAGAAATAGCAAAGTTACTATGGAAACTTTATTTTTTAAATTTGCCTTGACTACAACCATTTGACTGCATGTGACTAAAACTCACTTCGAAGGCTAACCACGGAAAAAACTGGCTGCACTACCAAACAATGCGAAATGAGTCAACTAAGTTCATAAATCATGAACCAACACTTTTTATACCAAATAAAGCAAAGAAAATGAATCGGATGAATATACAACCTAAGCATGAAAAACTAATATAGAATATTAAAAATTATAAGCACGCAAAGATGCTCAAAACATGCCTAATGTTGCAATCACATAGTTGACCAAATGATTCAAGTGGTTTTGCTAATCTTAAAATTTGATCATGCTAACTAATCACAAAAGTACTATTTTACAACAGTACATAAATTGCTGCAATAGTTGACTGCTTCAACAGATAAAAAATTTTCATAGAAAAATTTTTCAGAAACTACTATTCGGGTTCAAGAATCATTTAAATTTCGCTGAATTTGGAACAATTTTTTCGATGCTCCTTTTTGTATTCAGAGCAACAAGCAAGAGCTTTAATATGATACCAGCGTGCGTTACCAGCACCGACAAAATAGGATTAGAATCACTTTTAGAATAAAAAATAATGCAGATTAAATTCAGACCATAAAATTCTGATTTATATTGACAATTTTCTTGATTTGTCACATAGGTTTTTGACCAATATCTGATTTACATTAATTTTTTTTGCAGAAGCAAAAAAATAGAGTTTAGTGAGTCGAAACATCCATCCAAATCAATTTAAATTAATATACTAGGCACTGAAATTGATCCAAAACAAAACAATCGATTTAAATCGATACAAAATCCATTTAAGTTCGTAAAATGTATTTTGTTAATCGATTTAAAATCATTTTAAATCGATCCAAATCATTTTTGTCAGTGCGGGTACGCTCGTCCGTTGACCTCAATTAGCAGTCGTGGTCAAGTGGGTTAGGCACATCTCTCTTAACACGAGGGTCATGCGTTCGAATCCCGCTTCGGTCACGGCTGGAGGGGTCCCAGTGTCATCCGCCTCCTCAAATGGGGACCGGCTGCGGCAAAATGGATGACATCTTTTCTCCCCCGCCCCCACGGTTGGTCCTGCACTGAGCAGGCCGGGGGCAAATAAAAAAAAATAAAAAAAAATAAAAAAAAAACCTCAATTAGCATTAAAACGCCCGTGCTGGTCGGCAAATAATTGTTATTTTCAGGCACTCCTGTACACCTCAAATAACTTCCAATTTTTTAACATACGGGAAAAACTGATCGGCAGACCTACATAAATTTCGATAATTTTTCAATTTCTAACGGTCTTCCTTCGAGCTTTAATTTTTCCATACCTTGCAAGCCCCGATTTTCATTTCAGCATTGTCTGTTCACGAGGAATTCACATGCACGCGAACTCCCGATTGTCTTCATACTTCATAGTCGCACTAGCCTTCGCAATGAAGACAATTGTATTCCTGGTCAGTGAGTCAACCTTAGGACCCATTTTCATGCAGTTCTGTCGCAAGGTCATTTCAAAGACACGCATTCACAAGTTGAAGAAAATACGGGAGCGCCGACAGACCAAAGTAGTCCCAATGAAGTCTCAGACCCCTGAGATAAGAGTGAACGGAAACATACGGCAGTTTTCAATTGAAAGTCAACCTACACACATCTACTCACTGCCTCTGAGTAGTAATCCCAGTATTTGAAAACAAAAATTACTCAAGCGTGAATTAAAAATTTATCCAGATCATCTCAAATCAGAAAGTTAGTCACAAGAAAGAACAGTATAAAAGAAAAGGAATGCGCATCCGTATTTTTTTTCAAACCGTGCTTTATGCAATTCATTTTACATCTATCAACTGATGTCATAACCTTTGACATAAATTCTTAATGATTTGAAATCAAATCGGACACAGTTAAGTTTGAAACTTAAAAAAAAAACATTTAGCGCCGATAAAAGTAACCTCGTTGAATGTCTCATTTTAGCGCGGTTGAAAGTTAAATTAGTTTCTTTTAAAATATAGAAAAAACAGACTGCATAGTCATAATATAAGCTGGGAATAAAGTTTCAATTTGGATTAAAATTGCAGATTTTTTTTAAATAAAACTGCCCAGGAATGAACCAAAAACTAATCTATGATAACTTGTTTTACATGAGAACTTATCGGTTATTTTAAGAGAAACAAAAGCTGATAGAAAATCGGTTGATATGTCATTGACATTGTTACTGTACTGATATAGGACACAAAATTGTAGATTTGATATGGTTGAAATAAGAATCATTTAAAACTAAAGCGATTTGTGCAAAAGGTTTTCTGACAGTCATATATACATAAACCTAGCAGATCTCATTTCACATATAAAATTCATTAAAAACTGTACAGTCATCGATATTACCAGTTTGACTAGCGTTCGGTCGTCATTTTCTTCCGTCAGTCGGTTTTTTTCAGCTTCTGATTGTGACTCTTTGTACATTTTTCATCTTCATTGAATGACCCTTCAGAAGAGAAATTTGGCAATAGAAACCACAATCATCAGCATCATAGATACGCGAAAATTTTCCGATCCTAAAATACTTAAAAATTAGAAGATTTCATCACGAGTCCGATAATAGGTCATCACGTTCGGATATTAGAAAACCTTAGATACTGGATTACCGATGTGTTTCAAAAGCTCTAGACAATTCAAATAAATTTCAATAACTGCAATTGAAATTTTGCTATCTCCATACTAAAATTGGCAATTCAAATAGCTGAACTTATGTTGATCAGTAAAAAACAAACTTAATTTCAAAGGCTCATTGTCATTTTGATTGCTCATCACTGATCAGCTCTTTCGTAATTTTGTCAAAAATGACCAACTATAGATTCGTTTTTCAGGCCAGAGAAGAATTTTACACAGATGTGAAGTGGAGCTTTGTACTACTTCCGATATATCACAAAAACCATGGCAAATTAACAGATATAAAATGAGGCAAAAACCACAAAGCCAAACAAACTGCCTCAAGCAAAGTTTTTTTGTGTATCTCAAAGAATGGATTGCAATTTGAAGAAGAGAACTTGATACACAACTTCCAGAACTACAATCGTGGAAAAAGCCCTTAAAAATTTGGCTAAACGCCCGTTGAGCCCGAATATTGTCCCAACAAATTGCTAGCTTTGAAATTTTTGCATCGCCACTCCCCGAAACACAAATTCGCTAACAAAATCTTTTATTACCCTCTACATGACGCAAGACAATATGAGTCATCTAAGCCAAAATAACATCGGCCCTATTAAATTTACAAATAACAGTTATGAATCGAACCGACTATCAAATTTAGAGAGAATGACTTGAATCTGCATAGAGGCAGAAAGCGTAAACTAAAACGACAAAATCTAAGCACACAAATAATAGACCGACCTTTGAGTTATTCGAAGATAAAACTGCAATTTAATGAGAACTAACACCACTACTAAAGAGAACTGTAACAGCAACCAGGGTAACTTCCTAAATGGCATAATTCCTAAATGGCATTAACACAGAAGTTTTTCATAACACTCAGGCTTTCTTAACTAAAACTTCTCCTTTTTTAGAAACGAGATGTGTGAACAAGATTTGAATTTATTGCTTCCAAACAAATGTTGAGTGACAGTTTTGCTGGAAAAATTGACCACAAAACAAATTAGTAGCAACTTATGCTTTTGATAAGAATTCTTTAAAAAATCGAGATAATGTCAAACAACATTTGAATTCATTCATTCATTGATGGGTTTCTTTTGACACCTTTTCTTCATTCAAAGGTGTTCTGGTCTCAGTAGAAATGTTGTCGAGACAAGTGGGTCTTCAATTTTTTCCTAAATGTCAAATTATCCTATTCTAATTTAAGCTCCCGGGTCACGCTGTTCCATAGTTTTGGTTCCGCGAATGTGAAACATCTCTTTCCATACTTTGAACGTGCCTTCGGAATTGACAATTTAACTACTTTTCACACCTTGTTCAGTAGAAAAACATCTAACAAAATATTTTTCAAAGCAATTGTTGCATGGAAGTTATGCCATTTGGGAAACTTCTCAGTTTTATGCCATTTGGGAATCATGCCATTTGAGACGTAGTCAGCAATCAGTAATCAAGTAGCTGAATTTAAATTTCAATGAATGGAGCATGTGAGCACGTTAATGTTGCGCACAAATTTTTAACAATGATCCAATAATTTTGTTGGACCTGAAAAGTCTTTATTCCAATTTGATAAACATTGCTAATCGCTGTGCTTAAGGAAATATCTTTTCGAAATCCAAACCATTTCGAAATCTCAAAAGATCATGATCTCAAAATAAAACTTAAAAGCATATTAAATTCTCATTCAAAAGTCGGATCAAATTCATATTCGAAGTATAAGTCAAACGCCACATTTCCAGCACTTTCCTCTTTCACATTAAAAAGATTGGTTCATTGGTTTTTCGACTCCATTGGTTTTATCGAGTTCACATGTTCAACTTTAATACTGACTTAAAATCTAACAACATAGCCAACAGATAGTAGGAAAAACGTCAATAAACTCAAGGAAACAAAAAAAAACACTTTTTTGTTTTCTTGAAAAAATGTCAACAACCGAATTTCAAAGTAAAACATAGTCAACATACAGTTGGAAAAGAATCAATGAACGCAAGTAAATAAAAATAACTGCCTTGTTTTTGAAAGTTTCGAATTTCCAAAATATATATATATAAGGTCAAAAAAAGGTCAAACCACGAAAAATCAAATTTGAGCGTGAACAAATTTGATGACTTGTTCATGAAAACATTAAAAATCACCAACACCTATATAATAGTACTCAAAACGCTCATTACTCTTAATAATTTACCAAATGCTCCAGAAATTCTTAGTCTACGTTGATAAGCGAATAACTGGCAACTGCTTAAGCCAATAAATAAGCACAATTTTCTATATCTACACGAAAAGAAAATGTGTGTAGCTGCTCGTATTTTTGAATATGCGCCGTAAAACGACACTTGTGTAAATTCATCACTGCGCTCATTAATATTACAACTTTAAAATATTACAACGCTAACTTAAGAGTTAGCAATAAAATTTTTGTTTAAGTTTGATCCTCAAGACTTGCCTGCTTCGCGGAACCCGTCGAGGAAAGAATACGGCCAGTCGTCGTAGCCGAACCATACGTTCATCGCAGCGTTCGCCTGTGCCTCACTCATTTCATGCCATTGTCTAGGAGTAAGAGCAATAATCTGCTCAGGGTTCATGGACTGGTAGAACTCCACGTCCAGGTTCTAAATACAATTCAGGCAACTATTATCGAAGCTCGCACCGCAGAACACCACACAATTCCTTATACGATTTTCTGAGAGCTATTCAACAATTCTTATCAATCAAACACAGCAAAAAGATTATTAGAAAGTAGTGACAGAACAAGGAAACCAAAAAATGGTGTTTAAAAGTTTTCCAACTTCCGAAAAATATATTGCGTTAATGCGTTTTGAATTTCAAAAAATGTTCATGATTGGCTTTTTTCTTAAAATTATGCCATTTAGAGAAAACAGGATCACTATGCAATTTTTTTATTCCGCTGGGATTTCAAGTCGATTTTTAAACTAAAATGCATTCACTTTTTCGTGATCTTAACACTTGGCAGTTCGATTGGCAGTACTTTTTTTTAAAAGAAGGAAAGAAATTGAGCTCAAAAAGAAATCAAAACGCGAAAAAATCAAATTCTTGAAACCAATCAACATAGCCAACCGAAGATTGGAAAAGAGTAATGAACGCAATTGAACATTAAGAAAACACTGACTTTGTTGAAAAAACATGACTTTGTTGGCTTCAATTTTCGAACTTCAAAGGAAAAAAATAGATGCCCTTTAAGCTCTTTGTTTCTAGAACGATTTATTATTGGCGCTTTTTTGATAATATGAAGCCAAATTAAGAAAACTTGATCAACAGGTAGTTTTTATTCCGCTGGAAATCTAAAAATTAAACTCCACTTTCGAAACTAGAAAATGTTTACATTTTTTGCGCCATTTCCACGTTCGTGTTTGGAGAGTGCTATTTAAGTAACTTTCAGCAGATGAATTTCAATTGAACTCAAAAAGTGCATATATACCGAAGTGCATTCAAAAATGTATGAATGCACATCTGTAGTTATTAGAGACTTTTATGCCCATTTAAAGACTTTTTCCTGAAAAAAAAACAAACAAAAATCAGCAAGAAAAATATAATAAGAGTCTTCACTACGTTCATTACTCTTAATCACGACATAAATAAGTGACAATCCCCTCCGTTCTTTTCCTTTTAGTAAAAAAGACGGAGACCTGGCGGCTTTAATTAAAAAAGCCAGAGGATTGTATAGTTTGATCTTATTTGCGCAAGACGATTTCGAACACCAAATATTCTAGATTGCAAACTCGTTTTTTCTTTCTCACCTCGATGACTGAATCTGGAATCATGGGGATGACATGAGCGGGGATAGCGGCAACCAGATTCTGTCCGTCTCTGTTTCTTCCAGGGGTCATCATCTCCAAGTGAGTAGAAGACATTCCAGCTGAAAAATGACATTTCGAACATTTGCTTATGAATTCAAATTCTACAGAAAGCAAATTGCATTCAACTCATTTCCAAAAGGAGGAAAGTGTTTTCTGACATGTCCAACAATACTCACATATGGCTGATCCAATAGCAAGCACGTGTCGCTCCTCCCAGTGCTCAATTTCACCGAAGGCCTGGGTTGATCTGGCCTTGGCGAGAAGAGAGCGCATCTGGTCGTAGTTACAAGTCACCAAATCTCCAACGAACGTAGCCATAGCGTAGTACATCTCAGGTGGGATACCCGCAATGTCCGAGGAGTCCATACCACAGAAGAACTCTCCTAGAGCCTTGAACTCTGTGATGGACATGGTGTTGACATTTAGGTTGAAGGTCCTCCTGATGTTCCTGAAGAGTGCCTGCCGTTGCCACATTCTCCAGGGCCAGTTTGAAATGTAGTAGATCACCTGCCTGTCCTCCAGTTTCAAGTTAAAAATTTCGTCTTCGTTGAACTCTCGGCAAAGCCACTTCATTTGGATCAGATATTCAGGTAGGATATTTCGGAACCCACCAAACAACTGAAATCACAGCATCACTTCAAAAACTATACAATATTTAACACTGAGGCGAAGCAGCAGCTTTGCGTACAGAATCGAAAACGCGTCAAAAGAATCAGGAGCTTTGAAAGGCAAAAAACTTTGCATGCAATAAATTGGAAAACGTAGAGCCAAATTTTGTATAATATATGCATTTCAAACTTCAACAATTTCTCAAAACATACTGAGTTGGAAAATTTCTGAAATGGAGTTTTTTGTGCACTGTTGTATGGAACAAACTGCTTTTCTCGCATCAACTGATGAACTAAAAATAGCCAACAGACAGTTGTAAAAAAGTCATGAACATAAGAAATCAAAAGTCAAAGAACGAAAAATCAAACTGCCGTGAACAAATTTTCAGTTTTTTCCTGAAAAAAAAAAACAAAAAAAATCACCACGACAAATGAGAGTATTAACTACAATCATGACTCGTATAAATAGTCGAAAGCTCATATAACTCCAGAATTCATGAATTTATAATATTTGGAAAAAATAACACAACCTGAACAAGTTTAAATTCTTTTTGTTTATTGGCACTGCAAGTCTTTTACCAAATGCCCCAGAAACGCTTAAAAATGTTAGATAAGCGAAAAATTGGCAACTGCTCACAATTAATAAGAACAAAATTTTCATATATGTGCACGAACAGAAAACGTTTAGCATTCGTATTTTGAATATGCGCCGTAAGCAAGGCAAGCGGACTTTGAACCAGAAAATTGATTGTTTCGAAATTTGAAATCCTTCCCTTTACAGCCCCCTAACATTGGCCCAAATAAAAACTAGAGGCCAGCTAAAGCTGGAAATACCTGTTTGATAACTTTTGGATTTTTTGTACTGATGCAGGAAAAAGGTAACTTCAAAAACTGGCTTCACCTAAAACCTTGGTTCTCTTATAAAATAACTAGGAGTGAATTTTTTTGATTTCGATTTTGCAGGATAACCTTCGAGAAAATTCAAAAAACGAAAATTTGTTTTTTTTCCAAGGGCTATTTCTTTTTGTGAAAAATATCTGGGCTTAGCCGCATAAGCAGCGGAGCTTCAAATAAAAGCAATTTTGACACTACATTTTTCCCGCTCATTAAAAAAACCTTTAAGAAATCAGATACGACATCTGCAGAGTAGGTTACTGATTGATTAGGGTCACTCACAAAAATCAAGATCATAGTATTTTCAATTTTCATTATCAACATTGAATGGCAAACACTTTGTTCTTCGTTTTTCAGTAACAAGAAGTGTTTAAATTTGGTTTTCTACTTTGCAAAAGTTTCAAAGGTTTCTTCTTAAAATTATAGTGATTGGAGACCGATGGCCTCCAAGTTGGTCCTGCAACTCGAAAACTCAAAAATCGCTAGGAAAAAAATATCAGTGATTTTCAAAAACCTGTATAATGACAAACATTTTTTTGGTGTTTTTAGAGCCTTTCCAAACCTTCATAAATCAATTAACTCATTATAACAATTTTAAATAGGCTGATGTACTTCATGTACTTTTTTTATGTTCGAATTTGAAAATCAATTTTCTCAGCCATTTCACAGAAAAAGTGAATAATTTTAAAAATGTAGAATAGTTACAAGTTTGTCAGTTGCAATGATTATGTCATTTCCAAGGATATTAAATTTTTAACACTGAGGCGAAGCTGAGTTTCGCGCCACTTGCGTTAAAAAACAAGAAACGGTCAAAAAATCAAAAACTTTTCCGAGTGCCATATCTTTTTGTGTAAAAAATTTCTGCGCGTAGCTGCTTATGCAACGGAGCTTCTCACAGCCCGTATTTTTGACAGAAAGCAAAAACTCAGATTCGCGAGGGTAGTTTTTGAGATAGTTAAAAAGTTTCAAAAAAACAGTCAAAAAATCGAAAAAATGACTTTTCCGAGGGTCAGAACTATTTGTGTTAAAAAACAATTGGGCGTAACCGCTTTAAGCAGTGGAACTTCCCAAAACCCGTTCTTCAAAATGAAAATAAAATCTCAGACTCGGGAGGGTAGTTTTTGAGATAGCCAAAAAGTTACAAAAAACAGTCAAAAACTCGATTTTACAGAGAGTCATAACTTTTGTGTAGAAAAAATTTTGCAGTAACCGCTTGTGCAGGGGAGCTTCTCACAACCCGTCGTGCCTATTGAAACCAAAATCTCAGATTTGAGATGGTAATTTTTGAGAAAAGTCAAAAAGCTCGAAAAACGTACAAAAAATCGAAAATTCGACGTTTCTGAGGGCCATAAATTTTTGTGTGAAAAAATTTGGACCTAGCAGCTTATGCGGGAGAGCTTCCCACAACTGCTCTATCCGTTGAACCCAGAACCTCAGATTTGGACGTACAATTTTGAGAAAATGTAAAATAACCCAAAAATTTGGGTCAACAATTCCGCCCACCCACTTTTTCGAAGGCTGTAGGAAGTGGTGTAAGGTAAAAAAATATATTAGGAATTATGCAGACACATAGGGTAGTGGGCGTTTTCCCATTGGTAGCAAAATCGGGAAAATAGTTTTGATAAAAACGAAAATCTTCCAAAGCGTCTCAAAAAAATGAATAAAAAATCCCGACCCCAATGACATTTTCATAATACCTGTTTTTATCAAACAGGAATTTTGTCTTTTAGAGTCTAATTATCTGCACGATACATCGGAAAGCGCCGCCAATGGGCAATTTTTTCAAGAGTAGGGTAACCATGCTTCACGCCTGTAGATTAACTGCGCTCATTAACACTTCAAAACAGCCAACTGACGGTTGGAGTATTGAATGCAAAGAAACATAACACTGACTTGTTTTTGAAAAAATTCGATTTTGTAATTTCAACAAAAAAGGCCTCGAAGCTCTTACAATTTCAAGAACAATTTTTGTTTCACAAATTTTTGACACAGGCGAAGCTGAGCTTCTCACCACTTGCGATACAAAAAAAAGAATGACTATGATTATAACACCAAACGGAAAATAAATTGAAAAAAAAAAAAATAATAAAAAAGTTGCCATAAAAACTTTCCAAAAAAATTGCCTGTACCATTGAAAACTATACAAGGAGCTCTCAGAATGATAGGAAGCAGCCGACTTCTTTTAAAAAAAAGTCCATTCAGCGGAATTAAGCCGACAAAAAATAGCAGACAGACAATAATTTAAATTAGCAAAAAACCAAGGTCTCGACTGTAATCTAATTCCCAGGCTTTGCGGTCTCGAGCATGAATTTTAGAGCAATTTGAAAAAAAAAGAAGAGCCTTCAAAAAGTCGGGCTACGCAAAGACTAGTTACAAAAAAAAACAGGTCACGACCGGATTCGATCACAAACCTTTGCAGTCTCAAGCAAATGTATTACCTCTACACCAGATGGTTGTTTGAATTTGAGAAAACATTGAGTCCTCTATTCCCCTCAGAATATACTCACTTACACAAAAATTTGTTCGATACACTTGGTCACTAATTTGATCTATAAAAAAAAACAGTTAAGCCGAAAAAAAAGACGAAACTAAAAAAAAAACGAAAATTCAACAAATCGAGTTGGTAAAATTACAATCAATGTAAAAATCAAATCTCGATTCGACTGGATTTTTTAAATGCTAAAACACTGGAATCAACTACAATGAAAATTGTTTACAGCAAAAATAAATGATACTTAGATCAGGCAGCTCAGCAGACAAATATTAAGCCGACAATTTTAATTAAAACAGAAAATTTCCGTTTAAAAAAAGAACAGATCCTGATCAAATTCAAACCCAGAGCTTTTGACGTCCCAGGCGTAATAATTACCTCTAGGCAGTGTGCATGAGACACTAAGAAACTTAAACCAAGGTACCAACAGTAGTCAAGGTGAGTCATGTGAACAAAGTTATTTACGGTGAAAAAAGCCTTGTACCCGATTGCAATACTCTTGCTTATCGCAAGGGTAACAACATTGAGCCAATTTGAAAAAACTGGATTAATAATTCGCTGGGATTTCTGAAAGTTTAAATCCACTTTGAAAACTAGATGTCAATCACGTTTTTTACACTTTTGCTGTTTGATAGTTGTTTGCCTTGAAGCTAAGTGAAGTTGGAGTTATCCTTGAAACGGAGTTCGCCTTGGAGGTAAGTTCACTTCATTTCAAATGAAGTTGAGATTGCCTTGAAATGAAGAGAACTTAAAAAGCAATTAAAAGTCAAAACGCGAAAAACCAAATTAAGCTTGATCAAATTTCAAGATTTTTTCCTAAAAAAAAACAAACAAAGAAAATCACCAAAACATATATAAGAGTATTCAAATTGTTCATGCCCATTAGAACGCATCAACTGTGTCAACTCATTCCAAATCAAATGTCAAAACACATGGTATTACTTTGACAATGCAGCCAAATAAAAAGTTGCATCGTACAACCACACAACCCCCCACTGGGTAAATAGTAATTATTACATTTATACTTTATTTCAATAAACTAAAATATTTTACATTTCAAACAGTATCTTCTGTAGAAGAATTATCACAAATGTACACTTCGCTTTTTCTAAGATCACGTGACGCTGCATAAAAACAGACATGAGATTTTCGCACGCTCCTGTGTTAAACATAGCCAACAGACCGTCGGAAAAGAGTCAACGAACGCAAAACAAACAGAAAAAAAATAGATGCACTTACAGCTCTTCGAAATTCTACAATTGATGATATACAAGTTTTTGATAAAAAAAATTAGCCCAATTTGAAAAAACTGGATCAGTAAGTAAAATTTTTATTTCGCTGGGATCATGTTTTTCAAGACCTTTACACTTTCGCTGTTCGATAGTGGAGTTTGCCTTCCTTTTAACAAATGAAATGAACTGAACTTAAAAAAATCAAAAGTCAAATCGCGAAAAATAAACTTGAGACTTTTTATGAATAAAAGACAAAAAAAATCATGGCGACCTATATAAGAGTCTGAACTACGTTCATCATCTCTGAAAAGAAGTCTTGCTAAGATTCACATTTACTCACACTTTCAACTCGGTCTTTGATAAGTCTCCTCTGCTCTCTGGTTGTGTTGAAGTTGTAGCCCCAGTAGTCCACACACCTAGCTATCTCTTGTGGCTCAATCCTCTCCAGCTGGTTCAGCAGGAAGATCATGGATCCTCCGTTGAGCACGTGGATAGCAGAGCACGAAATTGATTGCTCGCGGTTGACTAAACATCAGATTAATTTGAATCTTTGTTCTCGCTGAATAATTGTAAGAAAAAAATCAATTAATACATTTTTTTCTTACTATGTGAATAACCAACCTGCGCAATAATTGCTTCAACAGGATTTTTAGGAAAACATCTATTAAAACAGAGGCGAAGCTGCGCTTCGCAAACACTACCGAGAAAATAATTTTAAAAAAAAACAGCTTTATAGAGTGAAATAAGAAAAGAATAGATCAGCATAAGACATGAAAATTAAAACTTCTGCTGTCCCGGATTCGATTCAACGACCCGAAGATTAAGAGCCCCCTCCCCTCGCATCTGCGCCACGGCCAATTCACTAACTGACAATTCACTAACAAAATCCACAAATAAAGCAGCTACATATGCTAATAAATTGCCCATGCGATGCTGCTTAAGTGGCACCAAATACAAATCGACCCAATTTTGTATGTTATAGAAACTGTGAGATATATTGAGTTGGAAACTAGCAAGCCCGTCTCCAATGATTTATCAGCTCGCAAAACATAAATTGTAGTTCTGATCGAGCTATTCAAGCAAATAAACTTAAATAATTTCAAATTATATGCTAGACCGAATCAGTTTGCGATAAGTTCAAGACTTTCTCAGCAAGCTATTCCAGCTACGAAAATATTTCAAATCATATAATGGAGCGAAACAGTTTGTGAAAATTTCTCTGAGCAGGCTGTTTATTCGATGAAAACTTTGAAATATTTCAAGTTACTTCTTAGAGCGAATCGGATGGCGACGTTAAGTTTTTCTAAGCAAGCTATTCCAGCTAAGAAGCTTTCAGCTAAAAAATAACTGCCTTTCTCACACCGAATCGTTTTTCGATTGAAGCCCTACAAGCTATGATAATTTGAAACATTTTAAATTATTTTATAGAGCTAATCGGATGATAAGAAGTAAAGTTTCTCTAAGCAAGCTTTTAGTTATGAAATTTTCAAATATTTCAAGCAAATTCATGAAGCGAATCGGATGCCAAAAAATTTTAAGTTATTCTAAGCAAATTATTTTTCAAGTTATTTTTGGAACAAAATAGTAAAAATCTGCTTCAAAGCAAGCTATTCGAGCTAATCGGATGGCAAAACGTTTTAAATTCGATATTGAAGCAAGCAATTCAATTGATGGAACGTTGAACTATTTCAAATGATTTCAAAGAGTAAATCCGCGCGGGAAAGTTCAAGTTTCTCTTATCCCAGCTATGAAAGTTTGAAATATTTCTAAACTCTTTCATACATCGAATTTATTAGAAGAAAAAAACATTATTTTTCTAAGGAAGCAAACTTAGCTTCAAAGCGTTAAGTTATTTCACAGAGCGAATCGCTTCGCGAAAAGTTGAGTTTCTCTAAGCAAGCTATTCAAGAGATGAAATAATTCAAATGAGTTCATAGATCGAATCAATTCGCAAAAAACTAAGAAAACTATTCAAGCTATGACATTTTAGAAGTTACTTTATAGACCGATTCGATTTGCCAAAAACTTCAAGCTATGAAAACTTGAAAGATATCGAGTTATATATTACACCGAATTGCTTTGTGAAAAGTTAGTTTTCCTGAGAATACTATTCAAACTATAAAAACTTGAGACATTTCAAGTTGTTTTATGAAGTGAACTAATTCGCGAAAAGTCAAAATTTTCTGAAGCAAACAATTCAAGATATGAAACTATTCAAGTTATTTTTTAGAGTGAATCGGTTCGTAAAAAGTTTATGTTTTTCGAAGCAAGCTTCTCCACCCGTGAAACTTTAAAATACTTCAATGACCGCATCAGTTCACAAAAAACTAACGATTTTCTAAGCAATGAAATTTTGAAGCATTCAAGTTATTTCATTAACCTAATCGTTTTGCAAAAAAAACTCAAGCTTTTGTAAGCAAAAACCTCAGGCTCTGAAAAGAACCTCAAGCTCTGAAATTTTGAAATATTTCAAGTTACTTTATTCACAAAACCAATTCGCAAAAACTAAAGTTGTTCTAAGTAAGCTATTTGAGCTATGATACCTTGAAACATTTTAAGTCATTTCACAAAGCAAATCAGTTTGCGATAAATTTAAGTTTTTCTAAGCAAGCTTTTCCAGCTCTGAAACTTTGAAATGTTTCAAGTTCATTGACCCAATCGCTTTGCCAAATGCTTAAAATTTTTTAAGTCTATCCAAGCTATGTATGAAACTATGTATGAAACGTTGCATTCGCCAAAGCTGAAACATTGCGCTCAGTTAAACATTGCGTCTACAGCGCATTCCGACTTTCATTTAATATATAAGATTTTCTGAAATCGAGTTTTTATTATTGTACTTTTGTTTGAAACAAATAGCTTTTGCTTTTTTCGGTTCATGAATTAAAAATGCTGTGTTAGTTTATTACTCTCCAAATCTAAAAGCACATTCTATCAAAAAATGGCAAGGTGCCCCAAAAGCGGATCAAATATTTGCGACTAAGGTCGGAAAAAAATAAGTCGTACTACTTCACTACGCTCGCAAATGTGATGAGAATCCTTTTAAGTGATCTATTCACTTCTAATGGCTATTCAGCTGCCACTCAAGAATTACACAAAAAGTCTCACGTCGGGTGATGGACTGCCTTCGGTGCCTGTTGTTACTCGTGTAAACATCTGGATACTGATCATTGCCATTGTAAGTATCATCTTCTATGTTGTCATTGGTCTCGATGTTGTTAGGATCATTGTAGAAGTCATCGTAGTTGTTGAAATTATCATTATTATTGTTGTTGTTGTCGTTCGTGTTTCCATCAAATTGGTTGTTGCGATTGAACGTGTAGATGAGTCGGTCATCTGTCGATGCCGTGGAGTCCATGCCCTCCGTCTGTTGCACGGTCAGGAACCAACCCCAGGCTGCCTCGGCAACATTACGGAAACAGGTCTGGATTCTAGACTGCTGTGTTCGGCTTATGTCTCGGAACCTGCAAAGCAATAGATGTCAACCAATGGATTTCGATCGCTCACCCAGTATCGCTTTCTCCTCTGTCCCATTTTTGAAACTTTGCAATAGTTTAGTACTACTGAAATTGTGCACAAAAGAACCTCGATTTAAAACAATGCTGTCCAATGTCTCATTCAAGGTTATTTTTCATGAAAAAAGTGAAAATAAAAGTTATTGAAAAGAAAAATGGGTATTAATTTATTTCTTTTAAATTTAATTTTCAAAAAAGCTATGATTCTCGGAGAAGACAAAAATTTGATTTGTTGACCGTTCTCGATAACTATTCTGCAAAATCTGATATCAAATGTTTAATCGAAACAACATGTTATTGAACAACAGGTTATCAGCGGCTACGCCCAATTTGGAAACTTATGGCTTTTTGGAAACCTTTGGCTTTTTGGAAACCTTTGGATTTTCTCGAAAACTGCCCTGCCGGACCTTCGGCGAAGTGTTCAATCGTGAAAACTGGTTTTGAAAACTTCTGCTTAAGAGGCCACGAAAAATTTGGATTTCGGAAACTCGAATTTTTGACCGTTTTTAGAAACTTTTTCACTTTTCTTAAAAACAACCCTATCAAATCTGAGATGAAGGGTTCAGTTGAATTAACCGGTAGCGAGAACTTTTCGTGCATCAGCGGTGCCTACTTGAGAAAAAAGTTATGGATAAATCGAACGACTTAAATTTTGTAAGAAAAAACAAAGCCAACTGACAGTTGAAAAAGAGCCAACTGACACGCAAAGCCAACTGACACGCAAATAAACTGATAAAAAAACTGGACTTCTTTTTTCAAAAATCTTCAACTTTTGACTTTCGAAGAAAAAAAAGTAGATGTCCTTAAAGCTCTTTAACTTTAAAACTTGTATCTTAACATTAACCCAATTTGAGAAAACTGGATCATTAGGAAAAAAAAACTTTTTTTCGCTGAAAATCTCATAATTAATTTCCATTTTCGAAATTACAAGTCGATCATGTTTTTCGTGACCTTTACAATTTTGCTATTCGATAGTGGAGTCTGCCTTCCTTTTAACAATAGAAATGCACTGAACTTTAAAAGAAATCACCGCGAAAAATCAAAATTGAGAGCGTGAATAAACTTTCAGCGAGACCTATATAACAATACTGACTACTTTTATTACTCTTAATAATTGCCTTTTGGAAAATTCCAATTTCTCAAAAAATTTTAACTTACTTAAGTAGAAAAATAATTAAGCTTTTGGGCAAAATCCAATTTTGAAAATACCCATTCCATCCTGCATCAGTATAACAAATTTTTAAAAAAAACAAAAGCCAACTGACAATTGGAAAAGAGTAATGAACGCAAGGAAACAGAAAAAAAACTTCAACTTGCGATCTTTAAAAAACATATATGCCCTTAAAGCTGTTCGAATTTCGCAAAAACTTATGTTTGACCATTTTTAAATAATTTAACCCACAATGAAAAAAAAACTGGATCAATAGGTAAAATTTTTTATTCCGCAGGGCAATCTGATGACTAAATTCCATTATACTCTTGCTTTTCGATAGAGGAGCTTGCCTTCCTTCTTACAAAGGAAATGAGGTGAACTTGAAAAGAAATCAAAAAACAAACCTCGAACTTAGTAAACTTGAGCTTGAACAAATTTTAAGACTTTTCCTGAAAAACAACAGGTACCTCTAGCTTTAAAAGAAACCTACAAAAATTTTGGTTCAACAAGTTTTATTTACATAATTTTCCTACTTATGTTTTTTTTATGTTTGCGTTATGTCGCAAGTGGTGAAAGCGGTCGGAATATTCTGCGCTACTTGCATAGAATCAGCTATCCGAGTTTATCCTTGCTGTCGATTTTGACTAGGCGTCAGCAACCAAAAGCCCATTCTCCTTAGCGGGTATACGACTCAAAATTAAATGTTTCAGGAATTGCAATTCGGTACAAATGCGACTTATTTTTTACTTTGGCACAACTCGTAGTGATTTTTTTTTTAATTTTCCTGCGTAGTGAATTTTTGGTGATTTTATGATTTTCTAAATCAACGATTTTTACAAGTGAACTGATTTTTATATTGCTTTCATGCAAATTGCCACGCTACCAATTTTTTTTAATAAGTGTCGTTTATTCTGTGTGGTGTGATAGTAAGTTCTGAACGAAAAATTCAAAACGAAGATATTTTCGACAACCATAGTCAAATAGGCCATATGGAAAACAGTTTCTGTAGAAAATGACTAGAAAAACGGAGAAAAAAGCGTAGAAGAACCTTTTTTTGGATAATTTTGATTCCCAAAATGACGCTAAAAATTTCAAAAACTAATTTTACTCGCGTAGAACCAAGTTTCCACTGCTTAAATTAAGCTTAATAAGATATTGCAAGCTAGCAAACCCTATTTTGAAAAACCCTATTAGCTGGAATTCGACCAAAAATCCAAAAATTCAAACCAGTTTTTCTCGACAATGAGAAAAATTTTTCAAAACTTTTAAAACGAACTGAAAGGGCTTTAATATGACATATAATTCGAAAAAAGAGAACTAAAACACACCTGAATACAAAGTTCCTCACATTTCTCCGAACAATAAGGTGGTGGGAAACTGGAAAAGAGCCCAATCTCTGCCTTAACTTAATTTGGAGGAGATTGTCCAGTCACTTCAAAATACTTAAACCAGTTTTCTTAATTTAGGTTAATTTTATTAACAAGGCTATTGTCCTTCTGAGACTTCGCTCTTTCAGAAGAGAGTTAGAGGACAACGCAGACCAAATCTATATTAATGCTGCATTTTTTAAATTCGATTTAGGTGGCCTGCTTAAAACGATTCGGCGTGAACAAGAGAACAGATTTGCTCATAGTTTTGCACTAATTTTAGACCACACCCTGAACTTTATCCGAATTAATTGAAATGGCGATGTTGGGTCGTTTCTTTGGCCCAAAATTGGAAATGGAGCCCAAAATATTATGGTTTATGGTTTGAGCTATCTAAGTGTAAATTTGGAAAAGTGTAAATGAGTTCAAGTAGACAAAAACAAGAAAAAAATCTTCAAACTTTCGAGTCGAGTTACAACAATGAAAAAAACAATACCTTACAATATTTCGTAATTCTAGAATCTTTTGTGATTGGCACTTTTTTGATACAACTAACCCGGTGCATATACAAAACAGTCCTTTTTTTCGTTCATTTTCATACTTTTCCGAACTGTTTTGTATTGGACTGTTTTGTATGGGAATGTTTCGTACAGACACGAACTAACCCACCCAATAGGAGAAAACTGGATCAATAGATAAGTTTTTTTTATTCCGTTAGGAATTTGAACACGAACTTTCCCTTTTTAAAAGCCCATCCTGTTTTTTTTCTCCCCAATTGAGTTTGTTACCCGAGAGCGATCTTCCCTTCTTTTTAATTATTTCTTCTACTTCTTTAAATAAGAAGTAAATAATTTTTAAGACTTAGTGCGGACCAAGTTAACATCCTTCCCCCCCCCCCCCCCCCCATAAAAAAAAGCCGTTGGGGGGAGGGGAGGATGTTAACTTGGTTCTGCGTTCGAATTTTCAGACAATCGACATGTAATTTTAAAATCAAAATCTAAAATTTTACGTGCAGCAGTTGGCAAATTTAATTTATAATGAACGCTGAGGTGGAGGATCTTAACTTGGTAAATTAGGGGAGGATGTTAACTTAGTGCTCTCTTGGTGATCCTTTAGTGTTTAAAAAAACGAAAAAAAAACACTACGTAATGACTTCCAAAAACTTCAATAAGTAAAATTCACTTTGATTGACATTCAATTGCAAAAAAAAACTTCCTTATCAAGAAATGTTTTACCTCTGATTCGACAATCAGCGCATATAAATCAGAAAACCGCATGCATTTTGATAAACATGAGAATCAAGCCAAAAAGAAAGCGCATTCTAAAAATACGCGATGATGCAGTACGGAATCATTTCAAATGCGCAAGTAATTTCTTGCATGTATACGCACGTCAAAAATATCCAACATTTAACATGTGTTTTGAATAAACGGTTTAGTAGTTTCACATTGAAAAAATATGAAGTAGTTTCACCGCAGTTACAAAAATGTATTACAAACAAGTTTACGCACCAAATATTTGCTCATAATTAACCGATTACAAATAACTTACAAGACTGCTCGTATCAGAGCGAAGCCCTGAGTGATCTAACTGCCTTTCAAGGTCTATGGAGAAGTACTAACAAGAAAAAATTAAATGTAATAAAATGAAAAAATGAAAATTGGAGAGATTTTGTGAAAATCTTCCCCCCACACGCCACATCAAGAAGTGATAGATTTCGCTTCTAGTACCAAATAAATTATGGCGACTAAGCTTCCTTCGACAAATTTGAAACCATTTCTAAGACGGATTAAATCTCCGCTTACGCATTGATAGCGCGAAATATATCGCGCGCTAATTGTCCCAAATTGACCAAAATGCCAAACTGTAAACCTCCATAACATTGCGGAAAATGATCACAGGTGAAATAATAAAATTACGGAAAATGATCACAGGTGTAATATCTTTTTTAATTTAAGCTCAGGACAAAAATACCATTTGAATAGTCTAAAAAAGGAACAATAACTTCTCGGATCTTATTTATTATTCAGTAGACGATTTAGAGGGGGGGGGGCGAATTATTCTCCCTCAGCGATTCGACCCCATGACTACCCATCGCTACTATTTTAGGATTTCCATTTTCGGCTGGCTGACCCTAAAATGTTTGCAAAGGCCCAAGTATATACTTTTTTTGAGCGCACGCCGAAAACAATTTTTTCGGTCAAAACTATCCAAAAAGTGCCTAAAAACGTCTTTTGTGGCCCGTTACTTCAAAACTTCGCCCGCGGCGCAAAAAGTTTGGTCAAAACAGGGTCTTTTTAGTGATTTGGCATTGCTCGGAAAATCAATTTAGACGACTTAAAAAAAACTTAAAAGGCCGACAAAATTTTTGAAAATCTGCCCCACCTGGAGAAATCCTAGATCCAAATCTTGTTTATCATACCACTTACAGCCAAAAATCGGATTCGTTCTAAATTACGAAGCTTACGCAAGAAAAATTGCATATTTTTTATTTAGGCAACCAGAGGCATTTATATGGGTAGAAATTCGAAGTCCTCAGTCAAGTCATTAGTCAAAACAGCGACAGTTACTCCACATGCATAAAATTTGCAGACTTTCACATCTTTCATATCTTTTACTTAATTGTTCCGACTTTCGAAGAAAACGGAATATTTATACTCGCTGTGGGTTTTTATTCAGTCATTTTTCGCCGATCGAAAAAATAGTTTTTAAAAAAGTGTTTATACCCCGTTGAAGATAACGACTTCCTGAGTTTAAATTTAGGAAGATAATTTACCTCCGATTTTTTTTTGTAAAATTCTCGGGGTTTTAAAATTGCCAAAGTGGCCATGTTCTAGGCTAAGTTATGTGCGCTTTGAAGAACGCGATTTTCAATGCTTAGCGAATTTTCTCGCACAACAAAATCATTCTAAATTGAATTGAGGGTAGCTAATCGGATCGGTCTTTTTAATTTCGTACGACTCAACATTTCACGCTTTGATATTGTCCAGAATTTATCTGTTCGATATTTTCTTTTCCAAAAAACTATTCGATATGAATAAAAGGACAGTTGAAACTGTCCTTTTATTCATATATTCGTTCGATATTTTCTTTCGATTCATATATTCGTTCGATATATTCGTTCGATATTTTCTTGTTCGATATTTTCTTTTCCAGAAAACTATTCGATATGAATAAAAGGACAGTTGAAACATTCAGGGCTTTGCCCTGCTATACGAGCAGTCTTGTTGATTTTTTCATATCTTTTACTTAATAGATACAAAACTATTATGAAATAACTACGTACTTATAGAAGATTTACATGACAGCTGGTTTATGCTTAGGCTAGTTCATATACCATCGGAAAATTCTTGAGCTATCAATGAAAATTCTTCACTAAGTACCAAAGGGAAGCGTGAACAACGCTCTTTAACTTTGTTGAGCGGAACAATCAGCAAATAAATTGATCCAGGGGCTGCTTTTCTATTTCTATCTCCTTGAAACTCTACCTTTACACAACCTAAACAGTCCTTTAAATATATTTTATGATATCCAAATCTGAAGATAGCAGAGATGCTATGCTTTAAGCAATCTCCTAAAAATGAAAATCTCCAACAGACAACTAGAAGAGTCAATGAGCGCAAAGAAACAGAAAAGAAAACTGAGGGTCGTGCGTTCGAATCTCACTTCCCTCACGGTTTGTGGGGTACCACGGTCATCCGCCTCTTCAAAATGGGACCGGCTACGGCGAAATGGATGACATCCCCTCACCCCCCCCCCCCCCCCAATGAACTCAAAAAGTGCATATATACCATAAATTTCAGGAGATTAATTTCAATTGAACTCAAAAAGTGCATATATACCTATATGCATTCATAAATGCATTAGTATGTATGATAGCACATCTGTAGTTATTAGACCATTTTAAGACCTTTTCCTGAAAAATAAACAAAAAAAATCGCCAAGACCTATATAAGAGTCTTCACTACATTCATTACCCTTAAGAAACGAAAAAAAAACTACGTTCATCGACTCTTAAAACGGAAACGCGAAGTCGACAAAAGTAAAAAAAAAAACAAATTGCAGGGGAGAAACAAAAGCAACTACGATGAAAATTGGGTACAGCAAAAACAAACAATTCTAAAATGTAGCATCTAAGCCGACAAAACAAAAGCAGACAAATAATAGACGAGTCTAGGACTAAATCCCCGACGACATAATCCCCCAGGATAAAACCTCCCATAGGATTAAATCCCCCTAAGACAAACTCCCCATATTTTAACTTATCGTCCAGGTAATGTAAAAATAAAAATATTTTGAATTGAGTTTTCATTTAACGCTACTTCAATGACTTCCAACTGCATCGCCATTTTCACGTGACTTTTTAGAAACCTTAATTATCCAACTTTCCTTTGATTATAAATTAAAGAGCGCTCCGCTCCTATCACCAAAAATAACAAACCACGTGGCACAGTCAGTAAGTCAAACGAATATTAATGAGTTCAAACCTCAAAATTGACATTTTGAACAAAAAGTGTTGAAGTAACTTCTCACGGGACAAAATTACCGCGCTTGCACTGAAGTGCTTCTACTTTAATCTTGACTATTTATGGTCACCAAGTGTAATTTAGTTTTCCGAAATCCGTTTTTGCTTAACTCTAATGTTGGGATTTTAAATCAAACACTGGGGGATTTGGTCCTATGGGGGATTTAGTCCTGGGGGATTATATCCGGTGGATTTTATCCTAGTGGATATAGTCCGCGAGCGATAATAGAGACAATTTTAATTGAAAAAGAAAATTTCCCGTTTGAAAAAAAAAACAGGTCCCAGTCGTATTCGAAACCAAAACCTTTGCAGTCTCAGTAGTATTATTCATTACCTCCAAGCGAAATGGGCAAGATTCGCGAAGAATTTATTATTCAATATGAACCAAGGAACCACCAGGAGATGAGTCCTGTGAACTAACATCTTTACGCCAAAAAAGTCTAGGGCCCGGTTGCAATACCCTTGCTAATCGCAAGTGTACGAATATTACCATAAAGCTCTTTGAATTTCTTTAACGCTCTTTGACACTTTTTAATAATACTAACTCCATTTGAGAAAACTGAATCAAAAGATATAGTTTTTATTCTGCTGGGAATCAGAAAAATGAAGCCCTTTTTCGAAATTGGAATTTGATCACTTTTTATTACCTTTACACTTTAGCTGTTCAATGGTTGAGTTTTTCCTTCCTATTATCAAATACTCTTGGCACATTCCGATGCAGAAAAGAATGAAAGCAGATTGTCAGCATGCTTGCCCAGAAGGCATCTGACAACTAGCCAAGAAAACTCTAGAATAAGTTCACTCAATTTCGCCCTCATAAATACTTTATTTCTATTGTGAATCTTCTAATCAAGTCATGTGAAAAGCCACCTTAAGTTTTCCATGACCACGATTTTTGTTTATATTATGTCTTAGTGAAAGCCGCTTCAAGCCTCAAGTGATCTTGAGAATCGACGACCTTTTAAGCTTCGGAATAAAGATTTTTTTTTAAAATAAATATGGGCAATTTGAATACTAAGGAATGAATTTGATGGAAACCAGTGAAATAACCCATATCAGAAAAACCGAAGAAAGCAAATTAAGGCCTCGGATTTGAGCATTTGAGTAGTACAGAATCACTTAAAAACTCAAAGCCGATGTGCTATAGATATTCAAAAAAGGACACGATTTGACAAATCATTTATCGGAAGAAATGACGAAAAGAGCCATCAATGAATCTGTCACCAGTGAATTCCCGAAATCGCTCTGAATCAACTTCATGAAGATGCTGATAATAAAAATTGAACACTTTTCGAGACTGTGCAAGAACATTCAATCCGAAACTAGGCCAAGCCAAAGATGGAGGTACCTGTAACATATTTTTAAAAAATAGAATATATGCACTGCTACGAAAGGTTATGCATAATTTTCGAAAAATAAAAAATTCACTTTATTCAAATCCATAGCAGTTTCTCAGCAAAAAAAGGGAGTAACCGCTTGTTCAAGGAAGATCCCTAAATTCTGTTCATTCGAAGCCTCAATCTCAGAATTGGAAGATTCGTTTTAAAGAAAAAAAAGACAAAGCCCAAAAATGGGTCAATTTTTTCAAAGCGTCTCAATCCAATACTTTTTCATAATACCGCTACTGGGAAAAACTGAACGAGTATAGCTTTGAGTCAACAAAATTTCTGAAGTGACACACGCCAATTATGAGTCTACATAACTGCTAAGTGACGCAAGCCAATTAGGACGCATTAGCAGTACCAATCAATTTGAAAAAAGAAATTTACCAACAAACATGCTTCAATTTATAGAGCGGACGCATTTTAACTAGTATACGAAAACGTTCATGAAAAACATCCGACCCTACCCAGGTTCGAACCCTCTTATTTTGTTGCGGGTCTCTTTCTCTACCTCTACGCAACAGGTCCATAATACCATGAAGCTAAAATGCTATTTGTAATAGTCTGTGTCAAAAGGACACTTTCAAAATGAACACTAATATTTGCGACCTAGGTTGGAAAAAAAAGAGAGTTCATACTACCACACACGCCTTGCTTGTGTAATAACTCGATGTTAGAGATTTTAAAACCATAGATAGGATCCTGCGGCAGTTCAAGACATTCAGGTATCTGAAAATTAAGTAGCTATGAAAAATTAGGAGTAATTACACTCACGCAAACAAGCCATAGTTCAGATGTCTCTTTGTGAGTCCATGCATCTCCTCCATTAAGTAATAGCGGGAGTAGGCATAGTGCACGTAATTCTGCAGTTCCTCGCTATGGTCAACAAACTCGATCTGCCCCCCTCTGGATGAGGCCGAAATGAAGAGAGTAGAGGGCACAACAGAGCACAGACTGTTGCCAAGGGACTTGATCACACCTGGTTGATCAATCTCAGTCCTAAAAACGAGCACGACACACATCCATTGACATACTAAGTAGCGGACGCCCTCACCCCCCCCCCCCCCTCACCAAACAAAGGGTCCCCCCTTGGCATTGTTTTACGAAATCCATTTTCGGTCGAAACTCTTAAATTTTTCAAACGCGCCAATAGATACAAAGTTTGAAGGGGAGCGCACACAAAAAAAACGCGATAGTCTTTATAGTGTTCTTGGAGTGCTCGTAAAACCAATTTGGTCAACTAAAGAAAAAGCCGAGAAAATTTTTGGAAAAAAATTGAAAATACGCCCCCGCCCACCCCCTCGAGAAAATCCTAGATCCGTCCCTGGACATACACACAGGTAATTTTCAATAATTACCAACTGTTCATAACACTGGCTTGCATTTTTGACCATACTCACGCTCTACAATTTTGATTATCGCTTTGATTTAATAGACGAAAAAAACCCGGTTGCTGTGCAATTAGCACAAAATGTTCCAACAACCACATTTAAAAAAGCTAAAGAAAAAATGTTTTTTTTTTAAATAGTGTCGTTTTTAGTGCGCGATGTGACGAGATAATTATACAAACGCCTATAAAATTAGTGAATTAATAACCGACATTTGTCTTCAAAAAATGAAGGCTAACAAAAAAATGAACAAAATTGTTTCTTGCACAACATTTTTTTTGTCCAGAAAACCTTTATTGCCAAGAAAGCCAAGGAAGGCACAGAGGTGAAGCTGCGCTTCGCAAACACAAGCGAGGAAAATGCGAAAACCTCTAAAGAGGCAAAAAGAGAAATAAGGAAACGGTTCAAAATACACATTCAAAAAAATTGGTTGAGATTAGGAGTATCACGTTCTCACATCTGCTCCACGACCGCTTGTAATTTTACAAACATTAGCCAAAAAAAGCCGCTACAGTTTCTAACAAATTGCCACGGTTATGCAGCAAAACGGATACGTCCTCGCATCTGAACCACGGTCGATTGGAAGTAAACCAGTGGCCCAGCTAATACTGGATCTACCTGTTCTAATATTTTTAATCATATTTTGTACTGATACGAAAAAGGCGTTATTTTCAAAACTTCAAAAAAATGGACTTTCCGCTAAGCCCCAGTTTTTCTCTGCTTAAATAGTGAATTAACAGCTTATTTTATGGAGTAAACTACTAATTGCTCTTTCAGTTGAAGTTTTTTTTTTATCTCAAGGTAGTTTTCGAAAAAATATGAAAAGATTCCAAAAATCGATCAAAATTCGATTTTTCCTAAATCCAAAACTTTTTCTCTTAAGCTTGGGAATAGCCTGTGCTTTTCATAATCTGATTTTTAGATATTAAAAGTTACCACACTCGGATTTTTTTAGATTGAACTCTTAATATCAGCTTTAGCTAGTTTTCGAAAATAGTAACGATTTAAAAAAAAAACTGTTAAAAATTCCATAAGGAATATTTCCGAAGTCCATTCCAGCTTTTCTACAAAGTAAAACAGGTTAAAACAGATTTAGAAGGTGAAATTTAAGCACCATGTTAATTTTGATGAACTATCATCCTCAGTATCAGCCAGATAGTTTTTGAAAAAAAAACTTTCCAAAAAACGGGCATATTTCAAAAATTGGGCATTTTCTAAGGCCATATATTTTTTCAAAACGCAGGCATAGCCGCTTGCACAGGTGATATGTGCATAAATAATTTTTTTTTCTTTCGGCTTAACTCTTAACCTCCGATTTGGCAGGGTATTTTTTGAGAAAAGTCAAAACTTTTAACACAGAGGCGAAGCTGCGCTTCGCAAACACTTGCGAGAACACAACCAAATTCGAATATGCGACCGAGCAAATGTGAGTCTCACACACTAACCAATCAACTACGGATGCTTAAAATTCCCAAAAACTAGCTACCAATAACACAGCTATATATGCTGATAAATTGACAATTCGATGAAGCAAAAGTAGCATCAAATACAAAAGACACAATTTTGCATGTAATAAATTGGAAATAATAAAGCCAAATTATATATAAATTATGCATTTCAAAAAAAATTCGAGATACATTGAAATGGAAAATTTCTGAAAATGAAAAATGCATCAACTGTGTTAATTTTCCAATAATCACATGCCAAAGCTCATATACCATTATTCTGCTACCGCAGCTTACCGATTCAAAAGTTCCACCAAAAGTAGCACTTTTATTTGTGACTTAGGTTGGAAAAAATGAAGTTAGTACTAATACACTTTGCTTCGCCAAAATGACAAAAATGGGCTTGTTCAGGCCATAACTTTTTTCTGCTAAAATTAAGGAACAGCCGCTTGATTTTTTCTTTTGTCTTGTTGGATTTGTGCATTTAAAATTTGAGAAAATGAAATAATTGAAAACCAATATGCCAAAAATACCCCTACTTTTGCCGTAGAATGTGAGAATGAAAAGAGATTAGCAAAATATGCACGCACATAAAAGATCAGTCGGTTTTTCTATAGTTTTCATTTATTTAATGAAAATCGGAACAGTAGTTTTTGAGAAAAACTGAAACTTAAGCGAAAAGTGCAAAAATTTTTCCAAATCCTCGCAACAAAAAACAACAAATCCCATACATTTTTAAAATATATATATATTTCTGTACACCTAACACAAGCAAAAAAATGAATCAGCAACAGAAACAAATTTTCTATGCTTAAATAAGCTTAAATATGTTTATATTGAAATATACCAAAAGTGCCACCAATGAGCACTTTTATTTGCGACTTAGGTTAGAACCGTGTGGGAGATCAGTAACGGAGGCTAATAAGAAAATAAATAAAAAAAACTTGGGGTAGAAAAAAATTCGTCGTAGTAATACACTACGCTTGGCTAGTGTAAAAACTACTGTTCTGTTCTGTGTAATCAAGCTTTCTATGCCTGAAAGCCTAAATAAAAGTTTCAGACAACGAACGTTACTCGATCTCTTTACTCGCTCGAAATTGAATTAAAATTCAAAAATTTGAAACCAGTTTTTCTCGACACTGGGACAACCATTGAAAATTTCTTAAAATCGTTCGAATTACGACTGATAAATATGATAAATCACTCAACCCATTCCAATGATTTTTTGTGGTACCAGATTTTGCGTGGAAAAAAACTACAACACACCCGAATATGAAACTTTTCAATGGTCGGAACAATGAGTGAATCTAATTGATCCAGATTAACCATTCAAGGCAATTTTTTTTTGACAGAAAAAAAAAACGGTCTAAAATCTAGTCGTCAAAATTGTCCAAAAATAAGAGAACAAAACAATAGGAGACAACTCCTCTGCAGAAGGTAGAAATAAACTTACCGTATCGAGTTGTAGAGGGCGTTTCCATTGACTGAGTCGAATAGACAGGTGCTGAACATCCACAGGTTATTCTTCAGTAGTTCCCGGTCGATACTTCTGATCACGTGGGCCTGAAGGTCACACACAAGGTTGCCCAAAGTGTCGAAGTCTGGCTGTTCCAAACCAGAATCATCAATCATCCTCTGAGTCACTAGCGAGCAGTAGTTGGGCACGATGCGACCAAAGTTGTGTCCGTAGTAGTCTTCTTCCATGACCCTTGAAAACCAACATCATTATTCATTCCATATTTGACCTTTCAAATACTTTTAACACATTTTGCCTTTAAAATACCCACCAACGAAAGGAGCTACATATCTTTTAGTACAAATTCAAAGATAAGTTCTAGAAAGTTACGATACCTGCAATACTCTAAAAATCATTCAATCATCTCGTTAAATTAAATTGCCAAAAACGAGCCAACTGACAGTTGAAAAGAAACAATGAACGCAAGGAAACAGAAATGAAAGACAACCTCAAAGCTCTTTTCATTTCTAGAACAATCTATGATTGACACTTTTAGGATAAAATTACCCCAATTAGAGAAAACTGGATCAATAGATAAAATTTTTATTCCGCAGGGTAATCTGATGACTAAATTTCAATTTCGAAATTAGAAGTCGATCACGTTTTCCGTGACATTTATACTTTGGTATTTGAAAGTGGAGTTTGCCAACCTTTTAATCAAGGAAATGAAGTGAACTTAAAAATAAATCATAAGTCAAACCCCGAAAAAGTAAATTCGAGCCTGAACAAATTTTAAGACTTTTCCTCGAAAAAAAAAATTGCGACCAAAATAAGAGTCTGAACTACTTTAATCGACTCTTGCACATGCATATATTTCTACTGCATTCATAAATGCATTAATGTGTAAGAAGGCACTTCTGAAGTTATTAGATCAGTTTACGACTCTTGAAACAAAAAATCACCAATACCTATCTATTTAAGAGTCTTCACGACGTTAATCGTCTCTTGATAACAATACGACGATAACCATGTAAAAACAAACCTGCGGTTCTCGAAGAACTGATTCATGTAATTGTTTTTGTCGTAAGCAGGGGTGAACTTGCTTGATGCTCCCTGGTGAATCAATCTACATCTCGCAATGTACAAACACGCCAGCTCCTGTCTCTTGAACGGAGGCACTAAGTACAAATCATCCAGGTCCCCGATCTTCGCTATAACTTGGTTGCAATCTCCCAGACTCATCAACTCCATCTCTCTCACACTGAACATTCTCAAGGTCATCCCGTCAAGTGCCTGCAGATTCGCAGTTCCCAGAAGTCCCAAGTGGAAGTCCTCAAATTTCCTGAGACCATATATAGAAGCAAAGGCCTTTCTGATCTGCACTGATAGTAGCCACGCTTTGTTCATGTCTCCGCCATTTCGCATGACTGCAGACGCTATTCCTATGATTTCACTGAAAGGAGAGGTCAAAATATCTGTGGCCGAGATTCCAGTCGCCAGTTTTCCCAACCCATTCATCATACGTCCAGTCAGTGCGAGGTTTCGAATCTGCTGCCTGTACATATTGAAGATCACCGATTTCTAAAATGAACAACGTTTCATTGACACTTTCTTGAATACTTGAGGCATACAACATATTTCAGGGTAAGATAACGTTTGATGAAACTGCCGAAAAATTAATAGTTTTACCCAGCCACATAAATGTAGCGAAAAACACACAATTTAAATAATTATTTGAGATAGCTACTTCTTGTTTCCTTCGTGGGAAGAATTATCATTCATCATTTTAGATACCTGGAATGGTGTCCAGTCGATTTGTAGAAAGTCCCTGCCTTCAGATATCTCCCCATTGTCCACTCGAATGACAAAGAACTCGTCCAGATCCGTGATCTGTTCCAAAAGGAAGGCCGGACTCAGAGCCATGCTTAGATCAGGTCCCAGCTGTGTCAACAGTTTGGCATTCCGACCACTATCCGACTGCGCCTGCAATTTTAAGATGGTTCAGTGAAAAGTCTTATGAGCCGTCATTGAAGTTTCAGCACTCGTCTTTTTCCAATTAAAAATCCAAAGTATGACTTAAAGATTAGCCGCTCAAAACATTTAAGTGATCAATATATTTTGAGCGTCCAGTGCATTTCCATTAAGCCTGATTTATGCTGTTCTAAAAGTAAAGTTAGTTTTACTTGGCCAGCGATGACGTGCTGTTGTGCGGCTGTGAGAGGGAAATTGATCGTTTTGACTTTGCTGGCCACATTTCTGAACTGTGCCAAGGAATTGAGAAGCTGAACCAACGAACAGTTCCTGAAGAACTCGTAATCCAATGCCGGCAACAGACGGTCCATTTGCTGAAAGTCCGTCTGTGTCAGGTACTGAAACACAAGACGACAACACTCATTGCGCTCTTTTTGTTCCGACCATCGAAAATGGAAGAGTAATTTTGTATTCGGCTTTGTATTTTAGATTTTCCTATTTTTTCTTTTCCACGCACAAATTTTTTGTTTTGTTCTCTTATTTTTGGACAATTTTGACGACTAGATTTTAGACCGTTTTTTTTTTCTGTCAAAGAAAAACTGCCCTGAATGGTAAATCTGGATCAAATAGATTCACGCATTGCTCCGACCATTGAAAAGTTTCGTATTCGGGTGTGTTGTAGTTTTTTCCTCGCAAAATGAGGTATCACAAACATTCATTGGACTGAATTGAGTAATATATCATATTAAAGCCCTTTCAGTCGTGATTCAAATCATTTTTAAAAATTTTCAAGTAAATTTCCCAGTGTCAAGAAAAAAGTTTTGAAATTTTAGATTTTTCGTCTAATTTCGAGCAAAGCGAGCGAGCAGGATATTATACAAAAATGTTGTAGGAAGCAATCCATGAATATTTTCTTAAGACCTGAAAATCTAACAAAAGAAATTGTCACTTTTTTAAAGAAGTGTCACTTTTTTAAACTTTTTTTCTAGTCATCTTCGAGAAAACTGTTTTCCAATATACCTATTTTACTATGAAAACCGATTTTTTTTGTTTTTGGTATTGTTTTCTTCTATCAGCATACATACAGCCATCGGTTATCCTTGCTTTGATTTTAAGATGTCAAAACAAGCTTTTTGCAGCCTCAAATAAAATCAGATCACAAACATATTCGCTTGCAAGCATATTAGGCTCTTAAAAATAGAGCTTAGATCAAATTTAACAGTTTAATTACTTACAATTTTGTCATTTTTGCCGGCTCTGTTTCTGAGGTACTTTTGAACCAACATTATAGCCTAAAACACATCAAGTTCGATTTAAAACTGATCAAATAGCAATTCAAAAACGTTCAGAGAATTAGGACTCACTACTCCCGGTTTCGCCCTGAGAGACTTGGACTGGAAGTATCCAATTGACTCCTCGATCTGGCGGTCTTGGTACTGATATATATCAGGAACACTCAAGACTCCGACCAAGGGTGCGATTCTCTGCACGTCCAAATCAGTCACTCGACTTCCCCTCGTCGGTACTTTGAAGTCACCTGTTCTCAGAGCACGTGCAAACAAGTATTGTAACATGAATGCGTCATCTGTGTATGTTGTGATTGTCCTCAGACCCTCTTGCGTCAGGATAACATCATCGAGAAAATTACTCTGCTGTTGGTTACGTATTTCCAGCAATTTACGCGTCAGAAACCTGTTCAATCCTCCCATGCTGTTAAAAAAAAGGTTTCTTTGAATTTGGAAGCACCTACTAATTAAATACCCTAGATTATTAATAAGGTTCGCAGCTCTTTTCAAGTTTCCCACCCAACTCGTAAAATTGCGAAGTTATGCTGTTCAAAAAAGCTCACACGGCTTTTTGAATGTAAAAAATGTATAAACTTGTTTACCTGTTCACGCTGACACGTTTTGATGCAATTCATAACAAGAAAAGTAATTTTAAATTGACTGTCATATAATGAATTTCAGAAAAAAACTAAGGTTACGGGATGGATAAGAACCAGATTCGCAAATAGTTAAATTTGTTAAAGCTAGCCATTTAAGGAACGCAACATTGGAACATTTTACGTTAATATTTATAGCTTGGGCCAGAATTGCTTCGAAATTAGCTTGAATCGGTTTGTAAAAAATGAAGTTACTGAGCTGAAAAGAATGGCTCTTTTAAATAACTTTATTTGATGTCAATAGCTTGAATCGGAATAACTTGATCAAAAAAATAACATACCCAATTAAAGATTGGAAAAAAGTACTAAACGCAAGAAAACAAAAAGAACACTCACTTTGTTGAAAAAATCTCAACTTTCAAATTTCATAGAAAAAAATGGATGTCCTTTGAGCTCTTTGAATTTCTAGAAGTATTTATGATTGGCGCTTTTTGATAACAATACTCCAACTTGAGAAAACTGGAACAAGAGGTAAATTTTCATTCCGCTGAAAATCTAAAAGTTAAATTCCACTTTCGAAACTAGAAATCGTTCGTTTCTTTCGCGCCATTTCCACGTTCGTATTTGGAGTGCTATTTACCTCATTTTAAGCAGATGAGTTTCAAATGAACGCAAAAAAAGCATATATACGTAAAAGCATTCATAAATGCATCAACATGTATGAATGCACTTCTGCTCGTATGTCTCGATAAAGATAAATAGAGGCCTAGCTAAAACTGGAGGTAGCTGTTTGCTGTTTTAGAACTCGTTCCAAACCTATTACTTTTTTCTACAGAAAATAGGTCGTGGCCGTTTAAGCAGAAAAGATTCCACAAAATTGGGTTTTTCGGTTGAACACTTAACTTTAAACAGTCAAAGTTTCAAAATTTTGTCTTTGAAAGCTTCTTAAAAAAGTAAAAATAAAAAACATTACACCCAAACATTTGATTATGTCGAACAAAAATTTTTTGGCCGTCGAAAAAATAATAATATAAGTTGACTTAGCCGGTACAACATCAGTCGAAACCATTTGGACGAAAAAAAAATATTTCAGTCAGATTTGGTAGAAAGACAAATTAAAGAACTTTCAAGGACTTAAAAATTTAGTATCAAAATGAAATCAAATCCATGCTTCAAAAACTAGGCCAATAAAAACTAGTACCAGATCATAAAGGTTATATTTGAAAAACGGAAATAAACCGACAGAAACTAGACCGATAATACGAATCCAAATTTCCGAGAAAAAAATTATTTCAACTTCAGGAATAATTTATGATTCTGGCGGATTGACAACAAACCGGAATAGAAAAAGTGTAAAAAACGGTAAGTCCAAAAAAGTGTAAAAAGTGTAAATCCAATTTCGAAACCAGAAGTCATTCACATTTTTAGCACTATTTCAACTTTCATTAAAAAAAGAGTGGAGTTTGCCTTCTTTTTAACAAAAGAAATTGAATGGATAAAAAATAAGCTAAGTATGAAAACAAAAGTCAAATCGCAAGTTATCAAATCGAGTGTAAAAATCAAGCGTTAAATTAGTTAAATCGAGTTAAAACAAACTCAAAAAATTTCCCGAGACAATAGGGTTAAATAAAAACTTCATGAGCAAGTATTTATTTTGTAATATCGAATTGACAAAACTAGTTTTTATTCCGATCATTGAAAAAAGGCAGTAACTTAGCATTCGGTTGCATCTCGTTTTTATCTATTAGCGCAAAAAACCAGGCACCACATGTAAGCATCGGAATGGGTCCACTGATATATCAAACTAAAGCCCTTTCAGTCGTAATTCGAACGATTTTAAGAAATTTTCAAAAAGTTGTCCCAGTGTCGAGAACTGGTTTAAAATTTTTGAATTTAGTGCAAGTTCTAGCGAGTAAAGCGATCGAGTAAAGTTCGTTGTATGAAACTTTTAATTAAGCTTTTAGGCTAAGAAAACTTGATTTTACTAAGAAGTTTTGGAAGTTATATTTAGCTCTTCCTTGGCAGTAAAAATTTCTAATATTTTCCATTTTTTGTTTATCATTGAATTTCTGAAGGCAAATGCTAACAATTATGCCTATTTCTTCAACTAATGACAGCACAGCTCAATCCAATACTTTTTCATAATACCGGTTTCATCAAACAGGATTATAACACAGACGATAACGCTACTGGGAAAAACTGAACGAGTAGAGCTTTGAGTCTACATAGTTTCTTAAATGACTCGCACCAATTATGAGTTTATATAATTGCTAAGTGACGCAAGCCAATTAAAACACATTAGCAGTACCAATCAATTTGAAAAATGAAACTTACCAACTAACATGCCTCAATTTATAGAGCCTACGGATTTTAACTAGTATACGAAAAAGTACATTAAAAACATCCTATCCTGCCCAGATTCGAACCCTCTTATTTTGTTGCGAGTCTCCTTTCCTACCTCTACGCTACAGATCGATGATACCTTGAAACTAAAAAGCTATTTGTAATATAATAGTCTGCGTTAATATCCTTAGAATTGGCTGAACTTAATAGCTGGTTATTGATCAAAATGAACACTTTCAAAATGACACATTTTGACGCAACCATCTTTGCATCGCAACAATATTTGCGACTTAGGTTGAAAAAAAAGACAGTTTATTTCATTAACTTTATTTCTCTTTTTGAAGCTTCTCGAATAGGAATCGAAATTTTCGAGATAAATTCCAGAAACAATTTTGTTTGTTTTATTATGCCTGAGCAGACTCCAAAATAGTTTATATAAATGCTTTTTGTAAAACCCTGCAAGATGCTAATATAATGCGTCATTTATAATCAACTTCGCATAAACTTTCTTCTTCAGGATCGATATAATATATTACATCACCTTTCTCTAGAAGATTCACGACTAAATCAATTTGTCGAGTAAAAATTGAAGGAGGACTCACTCTCTGAGCGTGCTGACTAGAACATCTCGCTGCGAGTTTCTTCCCAAAAAAATTACTTCGACTAGGGTATAACCATGCTGCCAGTCAAAAGACTCCATGTGGAAGTACTCCAGAACACTCATAAGACTCGTTGAGCTGAAACAATTGTAACACTTGAATAAACGTTGGTTGAACATACATCTTCTTTATTAACCAACTTGGACAAAATCTCGAGATAAAATGATCCTTCGTGCTTCCATAACTTTGTGAGACTAATAAGAATAACTGTAATTAAGACAACGATCGGCTAGAAAAAAATCAGATCAAGCATTACTCACTCTAGCAGGGCCAGTTTATCTGGAGCAACACACACGAACATCTTTGCTGTGTATTGCAGAAGGTTGTCGAACTCCTGATTCTCGGCCCACAGATCCAGACTTTGTCCCAAATTGATGTAGGCTGCCGAAATAATTGACTTGCATCTTGCCATATGTTTAGTCCAATCAATTTCCCGCCTTCCAAATTGGTAAAGACTGAAACAAATAAAGACCTTTCATGACAATATTTACATTACCAAGCCTCTCTAATAAGTTTTTCCTGGCACATAATTGATCTTATGTGTGATATAAGAGAGCAGCAAAGCAGCCATATTAAAACCGACTGACAAATATCAGAGCATATGAACCAGCCAAAATCACACCATTTAACACGACTCTTAGTTCGTTAAGCAGTTTTATCTGGTTAATATTTACGCTGATTGATATCAATCCAAATCAAACAAGGATTGCCGGTTACTGTGCAAATAGCACTGAATGTTCCGACCATAGTCTTAAAAAAATACAATTTTTTTTTTCAATTTAATTTATTTTTTTTTCTGCGTGGTGTGACAAAAAGATTTGAGCAAAAAAACTAGAAAAAATCAAAATAACTTAATAATGAACATAGGCGCTACGCGCAATACACCGAAGGCATAGAAACTGAAGCAAAAACCAAACAACTTGAACAACTAATAATTGAAGAATAACAGTTCTAGAACAAAAAATCGTACTAATACATGTATACACCAAAATTTTGCTATATCGAGAAAGAGCCTGAAATAACAGTTCTAGAACTAAAAATCGTACTAACACATGTATACACCAAAATTTTACTATATTGACAAAGGGCCTGAAATAACAGTTCGTGAGCTAAAAATCGTATATATAAAAAAATAAATCAATACATAAATAAATAAATACATACATAAATAAATAAATAAATAAATAAATAAACGCAAAACTGAAATGTACAAATAATTAAATTAACATGAAAAAATATATATCTCATGAACAAATAACCAAACAAACAGACCCATAATATAAATAAATGAAAGTAAATGAATTAAATAAATACACATACATAAATAATAAAAGCAAAACTAAATGAAAGAAAGAATAATTAAATAAATATAGAAATAAATATCAACAAATAAACAAAACACACCTGATAAATAAATAAGCAATAAAAAAATAAATCAAAACATAAATAAATAAATAAATACATAAATGAATACATAAATAAATAAATATATAAATAAATAAAAGCAAAAGTGAAATGTACAAATAATTAAATAGACATGAAAAAATATATATGAACAAATAACCAAACAAACAGACCCATAATATGAATAAATGAAAATAAATAAATGAAATAAATACACATACATAAATAATAAAAGCAAAACTAAATGAAAGAAAGAATAATTAAATAAATATAGAAATAAATATCAACAAATAAACAAAACACACCTGATAAATAAATAAGCAATAAAAAAATAAATCAATACATAAATAAATAAATAAATACATACATAAATAAATACATAAATAAATAAATAAATAAATAAAAGCAAAAGTGAAATGTACAAATAATTAAATAGACATGAAAAAATATATATGAACAAATAACCAAACAAACAGACCCATAATATAAATAAATGAAAATAAATAAATTAAATAAATACACACGCAGAAATAATAAAAGCAAAACTAAATGAAAGAAAGAATAATTAAATAAATAAACAAAACACGTGATAAAAATAAACAAAAATAAATATGTACATACATAAATTATAAATAAATATAAGCAAACTAAACATAATTAAATAAATAGAAGAACAGATAATTAAATAAATAAAGATGAACAAATAAAGAAACAAACATACGCAATCACGTGACATAGCGCGATATAGTCCAGCCCACATGATAATTGATAACTGTGGACGTTATTTGTCGACACTTGACAACAGACAACATTTAAAAAAAAAAACCCGTTACACGATACCATAACACCTTGACTAAAGTCTTCGGTGTAATTATTTCTGGTACCTGATTTTGCGAGGAAAACAAAAAAAAGAAAAACTAAAACACTCAATATTGAGGAATACAATGTTCCTCCCCATTTTAAATGGTCGGAACAAATAAGAAAGTTTCGAATCATTATCAGTAGAATTTAATCGAAGTAATAAAAACTAAAAAAAAAAAAAACTGTAAGAGCTAGGCAACTAAAATTCACTGGTTTCAAAAACAGTCGATTACATGCAACATATACAGTAACAACTGTTAAGTTGTACAGCAATTTGAGTTACACAACATCAAACTACTTCAGCTGTTGTTGTGATGAACGAAAAATATAGCTTCAGATTGATATGCTGAATAGGCGGCAGAGAAGATGAAAAGCTGCGGCCCAGCGACTCGTTGACCGCACTGGAGACGACGAACAGGGGAGCTAAATGCACTACTGCACGTGCGCGAATCACTTGAGAGGTGGTGTGTGGTCGTATCTGAACGTCAAATGCAGCAGTATACGAAGAAGACTGATAAGACGACTACATTTGTTTATCTTGTCTTCAACCGGCTCCACCAGATACTCACGAGTTCTCGGACGTTTTTTAATTTGAGACCAAATCCTCAAATTCATTCTTCACAGAAGGAAACTGCCTTTGCTTATTGTTAGGTGCACACCAATCGTGTATGAAAAGCTAAGTGAAAACAAATTAATGCGGTCTTATTCAGTTACTTCTTAAGATACTGTGAATGGTCAAAAATAGAAACAAGCATTGTTTAAATTGTTCAGCATTCCAAGCAACTGCCTGAGACACTCAGGGCGGTCTCGAGTCTCCCAATAATGGAAACTCCCAGAGAGAAGGAAATGAACAAAACCGATAACCAGACGGCCTTGTCGCAAGCGGTGCGCACCAAAATGCATGAAGATCTAACTGGTTTTATTAGACCTGTGTCTTCAGAAGATAGAGTAGCTAACGAGACAACGAGAGAAATCCAGCAGTCGAAAACATTGCTTGCTCCATGAGATCGCAGAGTGCTCCCCTTTTTGCCAGACTAGCCCGTACTATTACAAGCTTGTGAGGCGAAACAAGGAATAGTCTTTTCAACCAGGGTCAGTTGAAGACCGCTTGGAAAAACACATTGATTAAAAAGCGAATAAGAACTAATCATCAATACGGTGACAGATGATTGCAAACTTGACTTGAGTGGAAATGCTCCTACAAAAACCAAACCTTTTTTCGCCAGAGCAAACCTGGTTGCATTATTAACACAGAGTCGAAGCCGAGCTTCGCAACACTTGCGATGCAAAAGACAAATTCCTCCCAAAGAGGTTTGCAAAAGACAAATTCCAAAAAAGAAGGTTCATACTAATACAAAGTTGTTTACAAGAAAAAAGTCTGGTAACCCATTGCAATTTCTCTGCTCATCGCAAGGGTAAAAAGTTTATTCGAAAAAAAATCATTACTACAGGATAAGAAATTGGTAGTAATCATTGAATTTTCAAGAAAATGAGCATAACTGCATGTATTTCTAATTTCTTACAAAATTTGTCAGAAAAAAGTGTTTGCTGAAAATAACTAATTTGCGATTACAAGACACTTGCTCTCGCAAGAGTAAAAAGATGCTGGAACGACGCAACTGGTTTCCAGAGAAGATTACGTCGTCTGATTTCAAAAAGCGCTGCGTTGATAGCCAATTCATTTTCCCATTAATTTTGGGGTTTTTGAAAACCATACCACACTTTAGAGCATGTTTTACACAGGCGGAGCTAGCGAGCACAGCAGCTATAAAAAAATCAGCAATAAGCCTCGATTTAGTAAAAACTCGATTACATCGGATTCGATCTGCGTCTTAGAGATTATGAGTCTCGCCCACTAGCCACGGACGCTTTATAAATCACAAGACCTTACCACAAATGAAGCAGAGAACAGATGCTATGAAATTTCCAATGCTAGATATCGTGATTATCGCAAAAGAGCCACAATATGTGAACACTTATAATTGTCACTTTTATTTGCGAGTTAGGTTGAAAAAAAAGAAGGTTCATACTAATACACTGCGCTGATAAGCTGGCTAGTGTAAAAAAAATTAATTTACATGCCATTACTTATTCAATACTTTTTTCGCTATTTGTCACAACTCAGTCATTCCTTAATTCAATTTTGAATTGTTACACTCACTTTCCACCTACTACCGAGATGCTGGAACGACGCAACTGGTTTCCAGAGAAGATTACGTCGTCTGATTTCAAAAAGCGCTGCGTTGATAGCCAATTCATTTTCCCATTAATTTTGGGGTTTTTGAAAACCATACCACACTTTAGAGCATGTTTTACACAGGCGGAGCTAGCGAGCACAGCAGCTATAAAAAAAATCAGCAATAAGCCTCGATTTAGTAAAAACTCGATTACATCGGATTCGATCTGCGTCTTAGAGATTATGAGTCTCGCCCACTAGCCACGGACGCTTTATAAATCACAAGACCTTACCACAAATGAAGCAGAGAACAGATGCTATGAAATTTCCAATGCTAGATATCGTGATTATCGCAAAAGAGCCACAATATGTGAACACTTATAATTGTCACTTTTATTTGCGAGTTAGGTTGAAAAAAAAGAAGGTTCATACTAATACACTGCGCTGATAAGCTCGCTAGTGTAAAAAAAATTAATTTACATGCCATTACTTATTCAATACTTTTTTCGCTATTTGTCACAACTCAGTCATTCCTTAATTCAATTTTGAATTGTTACACTCACTTTCCACCTACTACCGCGAGGTATTCTCTGGATTTAAAAAACGAGAAATTTGAGCAAGCAATACCAACATCTGAGTGAAGTGTTCTCTGTCAGTAGCCATTTCGTAACTCCTAAGCATCATTTGGGTGGCTCCGGTAATGAATTCGTCTATCACGTCAATGTGATCGTACGGCAACTGGCTGATCGATTCGTATGGCACATAGTTCAGATCTTGTGGTGTTTCTCCTAGCGAAGCCAAGAGCACCGCGCATTGGACAGACTCATCACTGAAGGGATAAGACGACTAAAAGTGCAAAATTTCCCCTTATATTTATGTTACTCTTATTTTGATTTCAAATATTTTTTAAAATTCTTACAAAAGCAATGTCATTGACAGTTCTGGTGTTGCCACTTAGTTGGGCTTTCGTCAACAGATTATTTGCACCCTGCACTTGCATCTCATTGTTATTCAGAAGACTCACGAAGGACTGCTCAGGAATACTGATTATGTACTCAGCCTAAAAATAGTTTTATCATCTAACACAAAGCTATCAAACTTGAAAAAGTTTTTCAGCATAAATACACACGCTCATGGCAGCGGCAATGGCATTTTTGATATTCTGAAGGTTTGGAGTATCAAGTCCTCCGAAGTCATTTGTATCGAGAGCTCTTCTGAAAGAGGCATCTGTGGTCGCCAGAGCATCCACGAGTTCGCGATTGTATTCAAGGTTGTGCGTTGCGCCGACAAAAGCTTAATACAAATTCATAATTGATACTCATACATTCTCTCACTTTTATCAGCAATGTGAACAAGTACTCAAATTTGCACCTTGTAATCCATTGGGAATCCCTGGGAGGTCTTGCGCTGAGTATTGTACCTGCAGCCATTCATACCTCGGAGTGGTATCAGTGACAAACATCGTTTGCCTTTTCTTTCTGGTGGCGTTTTCCACATTCTTGGCAAACGATTCGGCAACAGCGAAAGCTAAAAATTATTGCTCTGGTGATTTCAGCATTAGTTCATAAAAGTAATTGAGGAGTTATACGTACCCAATAAAAATATTATCAACCTCATTGGTAGCCAATACATGTCAACCCTATAATGAGAAAACTTAAATCGTATTTTGAATTCAAACACTTGGAAATCGTGGAACCTTTAAACGGATAGAAATATCAAGAAAGAGTAGCAGTTTGGTGTGTAAATCACAAAATGTTAGGACCACTATATTTGAAAAGAACAACCTCGATTTTTTTCTGTTCACTTAACATGAGTAGGTTGATAGTATGCTGAAACTCCTAATGCTAAAATCTTCTTAAGAAACTGAGAGTGAACAAGTATTAGTGTGAGAGGAAATTATGCACTTTCCGCTGAATCAGGTATTTTTCGTAGGCGTTTTACGTTTCTCAAAAGTTTGTTCATCGGTTTGCATATATTGCGGTTCGTTTTCTGAAAAAAGCTAGGTGGCAACCCATTTGGGCCGCGTGACTTTGTTACGTCCAGAGTTGATAAAATCTCACTTACTGTCTTTTTCGATATATCAAAATTCGTTAACAAGGGATTTTCAAATTGAATATCTCTAATACTAAAACTTTCTTTAGGATTAAAAACTGAATGAAAGAAGTCGTTTAGCATGTTGACTTGTTCGTTTGGATTTGTGCTTTCAACTTCATCTTTTATGAGTAACTTAGGAAGACTTGTATGTTTATTCAAGTTCTTTAGGTGTTTAAAAATTACATTAGTGTTCCGTGTTCTAAACAATTCCTCTTGGTAGTTTTTCCTGTCCAATTCCGATGATTCAGTTACTAAATTTTCAAACAGTTTAACTAGTTGTCTTCTGTAGTTGGTCGGTTTGAGTACACATGATTGTGTGCCATTCCGCCGGATGACACAGTATAACCTTCCCGCGACGGAAAAAAAAGTGACTAAAGGCCTTACGAACAGAAAAGTGTTGCGACGGAGGGTCAGAATGTTCTGGAATTTTTATTTTTAAAATTTCGATTTGAAGGAGAACATTTCTGAGAAATAGAAAAAAGACGGCCATTTTGAATAAAATAGAGAAAAATCAGAACGACGCCATATTTTGTGACGAACGGTTGTATCCGAGACGAGAAAATTACGGAGCCTCTTATCGTGGCAATAACACACGATAAGGACCTTAGTGACGGATATTTGTGGAGACGGAGGCTTCAGTGGGGGGAAGAGAAATACCACGGAACCCTCCCGGGACACGAAATATAGGAGATAAGAGTGTTGTCTCAAGAAAATCACGGGAGCGGAGGCTTGGTCCCCCAGAGACTGTTATATGTGAAGGGACTGTGTAAACTAGCCATAACAGTTGCTGTAATGTCCTAGATCTGAATTAAACACCGTTATTATTTAATATTTCAGAGCATGAGTAGATAGAGAAAGGAAAAGGTCAATCCATCTCCAATGGATTTAATATAAAACTGTCACACAAAAACATATAGAAATAGGTGGTTCGAGCCGTGTTTTTAATGACAATCACGTAGTCTGAGGATCCGAGACTCAGCTATGTGGTTGTGTTCGCATGCAAACGAAAGCTGATCAAAAGTCGTTTGACTGATGGCCTAAAAATAGTAACTTTTTACTTTGCCCTAGACAGACCAGAAAATCAACTGGCAAGGTCGAGACGGTGAAAAACGAGTGGAATTAAGGTAACTGACGCCTGCCAGTCGTCAATAGGTACTTTTTCTACGCTCCGTCGCTGTGTGATATTTGGGCGAATGTTACATAGACGTTTTTATGGCGCTCCTGGGTGGGCCTGTTAAAGGCATGAAACCATCATGATCAGCAAGCGTTTCAGCGACGTACCCTCCGCTCCGGGCGTATGCCCGAGTTAGAGGCCTTAATGACCGTTTTCGTACTAGGGGGAAGGTGCGTACCCCTCCGTCTAGTACGATTTAGCTTTTTAACTTAGTTAACACCGAAAATTCCGGGGGTCGGAGGGTTAGGTGGGAAATCTAGAGCCCGCTTGTCCTGAGGTCCCAGGACCAAAAACAATTAAAGAGAAAGCGTAAAACCAAACAAAAATCAGTGTATAACCAAGAAAAAGCCAAAAATAATTATTTAAAAACAAAAAAAGTACAAAAAACAGTAAAAAATCCAAAAAAGACCAAAAACAGTAAAAAAACATAAAGTGACAGTTTATATGTTATTTCCGGACGAGATGTGATCTGACCTTCCTATTTGTTGTTGTTTCAGATTGATTTATATCGTTTCTGATAGAGAGATTGTGTGTTTTGGTGAAGGGTTGGGTACCCTCCCTCGAGTGTAATTTGAGTGTTTAAGCACGTTAATGGTGATTTTGCCGGTGACCGGAGGGTAGAGTGGCAGGCTGATCAACGTGTTCCACACTCAACAGGGACATCAAGGACAACATCCGCAACGACTGTTGGGTATCGTTGAAGCAATTTTAGTATCGTTCGGGTACTATTTCCTTAAAACTTAAGTGGTGGGGGGCACGATTGGCGCGGTCCGATTGTACCCTCCATCGATTACAAATTTCCGAGTTAAGGGTCTTAATTCGAATATTTTGGTGCAAAGGAGGGTATAGTACTATTTATTAACGACTATTTATAGATTATTGTCCTTACTATATATTACTTATCTCCTATTTAGACCCAAGAAACACCCATTTTTTGTCGAAAATTACCAATTTTCGACCAAACTGTAGACCCCCAAATTTTCGGATATCCGAGCTTTTCCGATAGGCAAAAAGCTTTTATATAGAGAGTAGCCACGTAGTTCGATCCCCTTTATTAAAGAAACCGCGTGAGCAAAGATTCAGTAGAAGTTAGGAAAACGAGAATTTTTCGACCAAAATTTTGATAATTTTCTGTATTTTGTCAATCTGTTTTGGGGATCGATTTTTTGAGTTTTTAGAGTTAGAGCAATAAAATTTTTTGCGTTAGGAGCTTGCTAGCATAACGTGCTCGGTTACTAGAGAAATTTTTGGGTAACCCTCCGAGTAGCTCCGTGGATAGAGCTAACGACTTAAGGTTTGGAAAAGGAAGGAATCGGAGGGTCCAAATTTGATAGTTTTTGGCCAAATTTTTGTTTCTAAACCAATTTTGGTCCGGTTTTTTGCATTATTCCAGTGCCGTACAGGGCTACTACGCTCATTTCAAGTATTTTTAGGCACTTTCGACCGGAATTGCGAAAAAAGTCTTTCAGATCCTACACAGGTGGTGAAAAAGGCCATTTTGACGAACGCGTTTTTGGCGATTTCTCAAAGACTAGTTATCCGATCGGGATAATTTTGGTACCATAAGTCGACGTTTTTGACCACTTTTCCGAATCGCAACCGTTTTTGGGTTGATTATTTCGGAAAAGAAAAATTTTTTAGAATTTGTTGGTTCGGAGGGTCCAAGTAACGGGCAACCCTCCGAGCGGCAGAAAATTTTATCAAAACATCTTTTTATTCAACTGGGAAGGTTGACCGTGTCAGCCAACCTAGTCTTAAGTCAGGTAGACCGCTTTCAGAGGCTTTACTGCGGTGATTTAACCCTTTTTCTTGATTTTAGGGGGAACCCTCCGAAGTGACCCTCCGGAGTCAGCTAAACCCTTTAGCAACCCTCCTTAGTGGAAAATTTCCACGAGATCACCCTAAGAAGTTGAAACAGCTCCCCCTAGAACCCTTAGCTTATTTTGACGCTTTTTGAAGCTAGTAGGAGAACCTTCCAAGTGAGATCAGAAAATTTGAAAATTTTGGAGGTACCCTCCGAAGTGACCCTCCGGAGCGTATTAAGCATCTTATTGACCCTCCTTAGTAAATTTAAGGGGACCCTCCGAAGTAACTTGGGTGATTAAGATACCCTCCTAAGTAACTTGAGTGATTGAGGTACCCTCCGAGGTAACCCTCCGGAGTGTCTTAAACCTTCTAGCGACCCTCCTTGTAAGAGACTTGAGTAAACCTTCTGTGGCAATTTGGGAAACGGAAAATATCCATTTAATTAGGATCATATTAGGATATTAGGCGTGCTTATCAGGATCATAAGAATCCATTCTGACCCGGAAATTCGTGATCAACTTTGGATTCTATATTGGGTGTATTAGAAGTACCCGAACAAAATTTTTTTTTGATTGTGATTTTGGTTGAGTGGTTGCCTTGAGCTACTTAATAGGAAAGTTCGGGCAATCCGGGAACAAATAAAGGAAGACCTCGGTGGGTGTATTAAGCAAATACACACCCACTTGAGAAGAAGAATTGTTCCCTACTCTCGTGCACTTGGAGCAGTCCGAGTGTGGGAGAGCTTTTTCATAGATTTGACGAATTTTCGACCAAGAGGTTGCCTTGAGCTACTTAGTAGGACAGCTCGGGCAATCGCAGGACACCTAAAAGAAGACCTCGGTGGGTGTATTAGGCAAATACACACCCACTTGAGAAGACTGTGTCCTGGGCTTCGTTCTTTCGGATCGTTCCGATTGGGGGAAGTCTTTTTCTTTAAGACTAAGTTTTATTTATCTATTTCTGAATCATCACTGCTTTTTATCGAAGATTGTTTAATTTTAACAAAGCAGTGACTTGATAAATTGTGTGGCGATAAATTGATACTGACAAAAGGTCGCTGTCACCTGTAGGATATTCTTATCTGATTATCGATTGTGTTTTGTGTGTCGATTATATCTTGTGGAAACTTAGTGATACTGTTATACTATACAACCGGGTTGAGTTAGCATTATATCAATACTGGGTAGACCCTGTGTGTAACTTTAGCTGAGTCACTAATTTAGTCGTGAGAGATCTAAGAGACATTTTGATACTGACGGAATCGAGTAGGCAGCGTTAAGTGATTTAACTAGATCTTGTTTGTGGTACGTTTGCATTGCCATCAAATTACGAATACTTTCATTTTGTACAAAACTATGCAGCGCAGGGACTCGTTAGGATCGACTACTAAAATTCCCAGGCTAAGCAAGGGAAGCACGCGGAAATTTAGAACTAGGCGTAGCCAAACCTCGTTTAGCAGCGCTTCCGACGCGTTTGCTGAAGACGAATCGACTAAAGGTCAACCTGATCTTTCAGTGATCGAAATGAGACTAAGGAGCGAGAAAAACCTTGATGGCAATCAAGGGCGGAGCGCCGAGGCCGAGCCTGCGAGCGAA